GATTGAGTTTGCGACAGTGAAAATACATATGGTATATTGTATCTGAACAGGTTAGCTTACGAGCTAAAGATACTTAGCACAGATGAAAGTTAAAAAAACAGTACAGAACTGTAAAAGTTCTGCCGTTAGCCTCTTGTTAATGCAATTTGTTGATTGTTTTGATAGATAACAGGTCAAACAGGATAGTGATTAGCTGAAAGGGGGCGTGGTTAAGGATAAATAAAAACATTTTTGGGCTGAGTTAGTCTACAGGTGTCAAACACTGACATAATAAAAGGTGAAAGGGAGTATTGATGGTCCTCTCCTAACCTCACAACTTCAGAACATAAAACTACAAAACTAAATTTAAGAAAATTAAACTGCAAGACAATAAATCAACAAATTCCAGACCCACAGAGCAAAAGCTACAAACCCACAATTCCAGATTTAAATCTAGCACATTCAGCAAGTAAACTTTGACTCTGCTGTTTCATCGGACATTACTAATGATTTATATATCTGTTTCAATAACAATACACAGCTGCTAATACTACATAGAGTTTAAACAGAAAGATAAACATAAACATACATTTGAAGACACTCCAGAAGACATACACAAGTCTATCAGTACTTGAAAACATGAACTGTGTGAGTGTGTGTGTGTGAGATAGAGTCCAGCTGTGTGGTGATCTGGACTTCAAGAAGGGAGTCACAGGGAGGAGGTCAGAAGTCACTGGGGGAAAGGAGAGAGAAAAGGGAGGAAGAAAATGAGAGAGGGAGAAGGGGGAGGAGGAGGAGGAGTAAGAAGGATGAGGGAGGAGAGAAACATGAGAAGTGAGAGATGGCGAAGGATTCAGAGACAAACTCTGAAATGTTTCCTGAAACAGAGTCGAATACAATCCTGAAAGACAGTTTGTTTACCTCTCCACATAAATCCTTTTTAAACTGATCTAAAATCATTTGAACATTAATACTTTGGGTCAACTTATGTCTCATTTCAGTGAGTAGCCAGGTTATATGCAAGGGTGGTTATTGATAAGTTTTCTTTGCCATAATATGGGTTTAATATACATGTCCCTTTCATGGTGGGATTGTAGTTTCCCACCATGGATTGTGAGAAGATTGTAAAACTGTCCACTAATCTACAAAGATATCCTATCATGCACTGAGGAGTAAAAGAAAATGAAGGACTCAGAAAAATTAACACGCTTTATATTTTTAGAAAACCACAGTTGGTATGAACAAATCAAAATCCAGTCTCATTATTGTTTAAAAGTGCAGTATTTGAAATTCATCTGACAATTTTTTTTTTCTTTTTTGGTGAGCAGCATATTAAACTGTGTGATACATCTGGTGGAGCCAAGTCATGCACAGAGGATGTAGGCTGGTGGAGCTGTGGCATTGACATCCTGCCCCTTCACATTTAAGCAGGTGATAAATCATCTAAGCTCCCTCAGGTGGGCACAGTTCATAGCAGTACAGATCCTCACAGTTATTGATTCCTGTTTTAGTGTTTATTATGCTTCCTCTCACTGCTCCTCCTCTACTCTGATAATATGGTTGCACAGAGCTGCAGGAGCCTCATTAGTCACCAGGGTTGTCAATCATGATCTTTCACCACTTTTATAACTTCATGACTAATTCAAATCACTTTTTTTTTTTAGTTAAATGAACATTTGGACATAAATCTACATTGAAATATTTGACTAAGATGAGAGAAAATATGTTTGAGAAAAATGTATTTGTTGTGTTTTTAGATGTTACAGTTGAACTCATGTCCCACCTGTGAAGGCTTCATATACAGCAATGCAGACAGTCACCAGAGGGAGCTTTAAAGGTTAAAGGCATGTGGAGTACATTTTCAATAAACAGTCTGTGGTCCTTAGAGACGGGGAGTCTGAGTGTTTTTTTTTTTTTGAGCTGATGAGCCGACTGTATGCCGTCTACAGAGACCACACACAGAGGGAGGTAGACACAGACAAAATGCCAGACGACAATGATGGTGATGATGATGATAATGATGATGAGGATGAGGTGAAATAAAAAGGGTGACAGTGTTCTATTTAAAGAGAATTTTTTTTTATTTCAATCAATTATTCTTTAAACATGCACACACTAAAAGTGTCAGACTGTTTAAATTTGGAATTTTACTCTGAAAGATTCAGACTTATATTAATTTAGCTGTTTCAAAGTCAACTGAAACACAACTCTGTGTGTGTGTGTGTGCGTGTGTGTGTGTGTGTGTGTGTGTGTGTGTGTGCGTGCGTGCGTGCGTGTGTGTGTGTGTGTTTGTGTGTTTGTGTGCGTGCGTGCGTGTGCGTGTGTCTTCACGGTGGGCGATGAAGTGGGAGGACGTCCTGTTTGGGTCATGTGCTGTGTTTTACTGTGGGAAGGTGGGTGTGTGCATGTGTGTGCAGTTTTTGTGAGGACATTTTCTATGGTTGTCATGGCGATGTGAAGTCTCTTAAGTCTATTTAAGACCTGTCACACACACACATACACACACACACACACACACACACACACACACTCAGAAAGTATCACTACATGTTTCGGAGTGTTTTGGTGATAATAGATAATCGGGCTCAGGTATGATCCATAATCAGGTTTCATTTAAAGGTGCACACAGGTGTGTTTACTTACTGTCACTTTCAATCAAAGCTCCTGCGGGGGTGTATCAGTTTCTTTTAAATCTGCTGCCCTCCAGAGATAAAACAGTGAGTCTCCTCTTTGCTGACACCCTCCTGTCATTTATTTCTGGATAAACACTTCCTCCTGCTGCATTCAAACACATCACTCACTGTTAATCTAAAACCTGAGTCTGTTTCTGCAGCATGTTGTGCAACTCTGAGTTTGACACACAGCCTCTGACAACATAAACTCACTTGACACACACACTTACAATCTAACAGCACTAACACATACCCTAATACACGTTAGATATTGGCTGCTTGTGGTCATGTTTCTACAGTTTGACGTCACTCACTGCAGTGGATGGCAAGAGTAGGGGTCTTTAAACTAGGTTTTAATGCAGTTTAATTCAAAATGATGATCAAGGTGTATTTAGGGGCCTGAAAGTAATGATAGTCATGTAACAAAGTTAGCCACACCAAACCAAACCATCTGTAACTCTGTGAAATAAGCTGAGTCACTTCAAGGGGGAAAGTAGCTGCTGTTGGTGGTTAAGACTGACCAGCCATCAGCAGAAAAGGAAGTAGACAGGAAAAAAAAGAACGAAGAAACTAGCAACAGATGTTGAGAAAACATTAAGGACTAACAGAGGCATACATCAAATTGAAACAAAACCAGACACAAAGCAAAGACACACCACAGCACGATATGGGATTTGGCAGTGTTACAGACGAGCTGAGTAAATACCATCAGAAAAGTTACAGGAAAAGGATCATAGACCCTACCATGAATGAAAACATTTAGTTGAATGTAATTTGTAATCGTAAAGCAGGATGATATTTCAACTTAACTTTGTATGAAAATAATCTTTTTAAAGAGAAAACCCGTCAATCCGATAATCCAGCTGCAAAGTGAAAACAAAGTCTTAAAGTGGCCCCTGTTGTTTTTAGCATCATTGCCTATATTAGGACATAACAACACACTTTCAGGTGGTTTGTGCGTAAAATCAACATGTTATGTTCACTTGCACAACACTAATAAATTTCTAATAAGCACTTCTTAAAGTTCTGCTACTTACTGTATTAGTTGATGCTTGGTACAACCATTTTGGTTTTTCAGCAAAAGTTACCTTAAGTTTCTCCAAATTCCTACTTCAGGAAAAAGGACCTGGCTGCAGACACACCAGACTTCTGCAGGAATAAGTGTGGTTGAAAGTTGGACGCTATAGGCATGAGGTATGAGGTCACCTTTTATCAGCCAGGATCCAAGACGTAAACTTCTAACCGAGCATGCGCCAACTGAGGTCTTACTGCACGTAAGCAGAGCTACATGACTTGGATTTAACCAAACTCTCAAAGTCTTTTAAATTTTCACTGTCAAAATTTGTAAAAGAAAACACTACAAAGAACAATTTTTAATGGTGAGATTGCTGTAGATCCGAGTTGAGATCCAACTTCCCACTGTGCATGTCTTTACAGAGCTCTGCTGTGTCTGCAGCCAGGGGCCTGTTCTACGAAGCAGGTTCAACCGAGCGAGGTAGCCTTGGAGCTACCTTGCTCAATTTAGCGCGGTAGCCAGCAGTCTCGCTAAACTGTCTTGCGGCGCTGGTTATCAACCTCGTAAGTGGATCCAGCTGTGCTATGAGCGCGTGCACGCGTGTAAGGCGGAGCCCGCCGCATCTGACCAATCACGAACATGGACCAGTCTGGAGCGTCAGAGCAGGTCGGAGAGCGAAGGACTGCGTACTTTACAAACAAGTTGCTGGAGACGATCATGAGAAAGTATGAAGAATTCAAATCTATCATAAACCTCAAAAGCAACACCGTCGCCGCTGCAAAAGCACAAAAAGGAATGCTGGCAGAAAATTGCTGACAGTCTCAATGCGGAAGTGTAGTGCGCAAAAAATCTTTGATGCCATTATTACCCTGAAATAGCACTGTTCAACGTGTGCTTTTAACATGCACCAGACATGTCTAATTCATATCCAAGATAAATTCATTCATTTGTTCATTCCTATCGTGTTTACATTTTTTTGTGTGATATGTAGGCCATATGAGCCTTTCATAAAGGTGGTCATCCAGAAAAGTAAGTGGGTCCGTGCGGTCCCTGAAAACTCTCGTTCGCCGGACTGCTCCTCGGACAATGCGAGCACTGAGGTCTATAGGATCCTCCAAGAACGGACAAGCCATTTTTCTAGAGAGCTTATTGGTCAGTGGGCGGGGTTTTTATACTCGGTGAGTTCAATCTGGAACCTAACCTGCCCCGGAGCAGGTTAGCCGTTTAGTGTACGTTGCCATGGAGACTCACCTCGCTAAGAAGTGAACCCACGTCATTGAACAGGAAACCCCAAACTTACCCTCAAAGTTACCTCGTAGAATAGGCCCCAGGTACTCTCGACCTTAGGGGGGCAGTTTTGGTGACGTGTCAGTCGGGCATCTCACAACTTCTGCTGCAACACACCACTAACCTTCACACTGTACTTCTCCACTGGTTCTTAAGCCAACCAATGTCATTATAATGTCATTTAGCAGATGCTTGTTTCCACAGCAATGTTTGGGAGCAAATACGACAAAAGCAAAGATCTAGACAGGAGCTGGTATGTCAGGAATAAAGGCTTCCATTGATCCACCTCTGCCTTCTTTCCCTTTTTACCAATTAGAAAAATGGCTTTTGTAGCTTAGGCTAGCCTGTTATTTGGATTCATAGTTTACAGTAAGCATTGTCACATGCATAAGATCAACATACCACCCACTAACAGCACTTACAAACATCCACTTTCAAACAGTTTATACAGTAGATATATAGAGAAATAATCAGTCTTATTAATGATGGTCCAGTTAGAGCTTGTTGCCCTCATTGGCTCCTCCCACATCCTGGCTCCCTCCATTTCCCAGATTTCTTGTGTGTTATGGGAACAGTCAGAGTTTCCTTCCTGCCTGGTTCATGCTGCTGAGGGAGGAATTGTCTGTTTGTGCCCTTCATGGAGGAATATAAATCACTGTTTCTACATGTGCAAGAGCTCAGACTGAACACTTAAAGCAGATTAAAATTCACTGAACCCATTTAACAGATTTAATTGAATACAGACGGTAAACAGGTTAAGCATTAACGTCTGTTTGAAAGTTTTATTGTTGAATTTTGTCCTGACAATGATCAGTTTGATTGTTTCAGATGTTTAAACAGAATCAGATCTACAGATGGTCAGAGCTCATCCTGTTTTATTATGGGACAATGAAGACTGAGAATAAACACTTCAACACACACCCTCACACACACTCTCACGCACAAAAGCATTGACAAAACAAGAAACAAAACAAAGAAATTATTTTTATTACTCATCACCCAGCCCAGTCTGCCAGGATTCTCCTTGCAGTCTGATTGAATGACTATCCTACTTTTGTATTTTTTGTGTGTGTGTGTGTTTCTGTAACCATACATCAGTAACACATCATAGCAGAGGGATCACAATACACTTGCCTTATGCATCATTTATTCTCTCTGTGTCTGGACCTGGTGGCTTCAGATAATCCGAGTCATCAAAACCACCACACACGAATAAATGATTATAAACACTTTAAAAAGGCTCTCACTGAACTTTTTAATGTTTTATATCTTTTTAATAAGCCCAGAACATTCAGTTTTTAGTCCTTTAGGTCAGATCACCTGAGTCAGCGACTGTGATTTCTGCACCTGTCATACCTGGGGAGGGAAAGATGGGTCACTGTGACCTTAAAAAGAGTCTACATGAATAATTCATTGACATCAAATTTACATGATCCTTCAAAACGTGTCACCATGATAACTGCATCTTGTTGATGCACGCACACACTTTGTGTTATTGTGAGGATAAATTTTATAAACCATAGGTGATCAGGATCCATTCCTGTTTCTTGTTGTCCATATGGAGGGCTCTGCAGAATGGTCTGAGCTGCTGCAGAGTTGACCTGCCATCCATAACCCCGCCCCTCTGCACCTTTCCAACCTTCTTTACATCAGCACCTCCCCTCGCACTCTCAGGTACTCTTCCTCTCTCCACCCACCCATCTGACTACCATGGGCTCAGGAGCCTTCAGTTGCTCTGCTCCTTGACACTGGAACTCCCTCACTCCAGACATCCTTAATATCAAGTCTATGTCAATTTTCAATACTCATCTTAAAACCCATCTTTTTAAGTTAGCATATCTATTCTGACTGTTGCTTTAACTTGTGTTTAAAATCATTTTATGAACTATTTACTTGTTTGTCTTGTTTTAACCCTCTCTTGTAAGGCAACCATGAGTGCTCTGATAGGCTCCAATAAATAAAATGAATTATTATTATTGTTATTATCATTATCATCATTGTCATCATCATCTTCTGAGTCTGAATCCTGTTTCTCTATTGACTCCCAATCAATAAGCCATTATGTTTCTCCTCTCTAGCAGACTATTTCTTAGTTTCATCTTCAGTCTCATCAGGAACTGTTGCTTTCTACTGCTATTAACACAAACTGTGTTTAAAAAAATAGAATATTGATACTGTGCCAAAAATCAGAATAAGGTGACTGACTTCATAAAGGTGGTCACTGTCAATGATTTTCACACATCATAAAACAGAGGACAAAGATAAAAATTGTATCACACTTTCCGGCACTTTTAGTTCAAAATTAGTCATGAAGTTCCTGGTTACTGATTATCTCACATTCATCCTTTCTGTTTATATTACTGTTTTCATTTTAATCTGTCATTTACAATGTACAAATGTACGTTACAAAGAAGAAATAAGTCCCTGTGAATGTCTGAATGAACAAAATATTTTAAATGAAAACCCAGTCTGTTTACATTAGGGCTGTCACAGTATCAGACTTGCAACTAATGATTACTGTAGCCATAGGACAGGACAACTTGAAAATAAATCAACACAATCAGTCAAATGAAGGAACGACAAAAAAAGGATGGAGCAGAAACACATTACTTCATTAATGTTTTAATGGCTGAACTTTGACCTTCAGAGTTTCACAAACAGATCGATGATTCAAACTTTGGGAGAAAATAAAAACAGTCTGAATACCTGAAGAGCAAAATTAAATCAGCGAGTTTCAGATCTTCAGTGATACTGTGGTCTTAGACAAACCTCAATGTGACAGTAACTGTTCTTATTGGTTACAGGGATATAAATAAGTCCCTGTGGCTCTGGATTCACCTGTAGTAGTACTGGTCTTTGGTTGCACACCTGTGTATCTGTTCCAGTGTGACACTTAAATAAAAACCTGCAGGAACTAAACTCAGTCCACTTTTGGTTCCTTTTTGTATCCACGTCAAACATGGTCGATAACATTAAAATAAAAAACACACAAGTCCTCAGGGTCCCGATCTCTGGCTTTGAGAAAACTTTTGGCTTTTAGTGATGATACAGTGCTCTGACAGGAGGTCAAAGGTCAACACTCTGACTTCATGAACCTCAAAGAATTTGGTCTTTAGTCCTGCTGGTCAAGTTTCCAAATCATAGATGATTTTTTTTAAATCATTTAAGTCTCAAAGGACAAATAGAGGGGGAGAAATGACTCCAATTTCTCCAGAAAAGCTGCAGGAGGCAGCTGGTTAGCTTAGCTTAGCTTTTAGAGGCAAACAGCCAGCTTGGCTCCTCAGCATCAAGTCATATCCTTATTTAATAAGTTTAATCCATACAAACACTACAATGTAAAAAAAAATGTTTCTGTGTTGGAATATCCCTTTAAACAGTAAACTGAAAATCTCATGGAGACTAAAATGAGCTAAACTGACCTGGAACAGTTTTTCGTTATTAAAAAATGACCCATATGATGAAACTCTTAGAAGTGCTGCCGGACGGATTTAAATTTTCTTCAGATGGGCTGTGCCTTTCCTGTTTATAATCTTTATGCAAAGCTAAGTTAACCAGCGACTTTCCAGCGCAATGACTTTGAGAGACCAAACGTAACTTTCCCAGTTTTTTCTCTGACACCTGAAGGTTTCTTCCTGTCATCTTTCAGAGTTTTTAAGCAAGCAGATCGCTCCTCTTGCTGCACCAGACCACCAGAGTGATCATGGCCAATGTGAGGACAACTGGGACAAGGATGAGGACGGTGAGCGTCTCATCCGGCGGATCCACCCACTCCACTGGTGTGTGGGTGCAGTTGGAGAAAAAGTGCTTGTGTATACGGATGATGTAGCTCTCTACTAGCGGGTTGGGCCAGTAACATGAGACGCCCTGGGACTTGGTCTCCGTGCAGAGGGTGAACAGGTAGTACTCACTGAGGAGAAAGAAGAGAGTGGGGGTTAAGTCACCATCATGAACCCTTCTGCTCACCTAGGAAACAGTTTAAGGTAGGAACTGAGGTTGCCTTGCCTTAAGACTTTCGAAGTAGTTTTAATGTTCACAATAATGTCACCTATTGTTAACTTTGAACAGAAATAACAAATTAACAGTTACTGAACAGCTTTGCTAACAGATCAACAGTTAACAGCATCACATTTTGGATCAACAGTGCCTCCTTCTGTATAAATGTATTAACTAGCAGGCTAAAGCACTGTGCTAGTGTACCTGAGACCAGGTGTTCTGACCAGAGATCATTTCCCCTCAGTCATCATCAAACTGGGGGTCCCTCAGGGCTCCAAACTGGGACCATTTTAATTTTACTCTATATGCTTCCAGTTAGCAGCATTTACGCATACACAGCACTAACAGTATAATGTGTGATGACAGATACTATGGTTCACAGTGAAGCTGACTTAACTACAATATGTTAGCTGTTATTATATACGACTGCATTCAATACTTGGTCATGATTGGTCAAAACCCACAACCTGTCATTTATGATAGCATTGATTAACAACGTGGAGGATATTTTGAATATTAATCTTCAATAAAGAGGATCAACGCTTTGTGTCAACTTGTTTCCATATTCAGTATATTCAGTTGGTGACCACATAACAAATATGGCAACTTACATTGAGTGTGTGGTTATGAAGATAGGAATCTTTTCAGGGCTATCCAAGAGTTTAAGCTGGATTGTGAGTTAGTCCACTCCACGTTAGGATCCTGCTCACCCTGCAAGGACTCCCATCTGCAGTCACCACCCACTCACTATAAATGACCCCTCCCATATAGGACATTTGAGTCAACTCTACTGGTGCCTCAGAACCTGAGAACCCTCATTCACTAAGATCACTGATTGGCTTAGCAACTCATCTCATTCTCCCCTCAAACATCCACAAGTACATCAGAGCAATGTCAAAGACTGGGTGACAATTAGTCAACTTTTAAAAAGCCTGTGAGCAACAGAACAACTGTTTTCTGTTATAAATATAGTCATTTTCAGGCCTGCAGCTCCTAAACGGTAGACCACAACGATAGAGCCATGTTGCTTTTGGGCCTAGTGAACTGTTACGTCACAAAGGAGGCGTGACATGACCACAGACTAACTCATTAAGCGCACAGTTACACCAAACAATGCTCTCCTCATTAACATGCAGCAGTAATGGTGGGTGACTAAAATTCAGCTTTTGATGAAGCTGTGTGTACTTAGATGATGGTGATAAATCACTCTCAGCTGCATCCTGTTCAGCCTATCATAATTAGTCTGATTGGCCTTTGTGGGCTTATTAACATTACGAACTATCATTAGAGTGATATTTAATTTTAATGGATGCAGATGACTGTATGTTAATTTGGTGGTACTAATTTGGGAATATTGTTAGACTTATGATTTATTATAGTAACTGTCTCATTAAGTTTTGTTGTGATCACAAACAGTTTAATATCTATTGGTGTTTGATAAACGAGGGGAGCAGGTGCTTTAAGCGTCCTCACTTTTTTACACTATATTTTACAGCTTATGATGCATGAAGTGTAAAAGGGATTGAATTCTGGATTACTTTTTTGTTGATTTGTTCAAGTCATGTCAGCTTTTACTTATTATCTTTGCTGAAGTCTAAGAGTTTTAGAGCTTTTTTAAAAACAGCAACAAGTCACGTTTATGCGAACCCCCCCATCTACCTCGGACGGCGCCTGTGATAGAGGACATGTCTGATTACTTAGACCTTGTCTGATCTGGAACTAAATTTGGACCTTTAGGGAGTCCTAACAAAAATAAAATACACTCAGACTGACACTCAAGACAGAAAATCAATATAGTATTCGAGGTACACTGAACACATACACGCAGCTTCTATTTATTGTGTGTGGTGGTGAATAGAATTTAACATTAGCCGTCACACAGACTGAGTGTTTGGCAAAAGCTCAGAATTCTGTGTGTGTGTGTGTGTGTGTGTGTGTGTGTGTGTGTGTGTGTGTGTGTGTGTGGAGGTTTGGGTCACTGCTTGTATAAACATGAGGCCTCTCGCTCCCACACTCTCTCTCTCTTCCCCCTTCCCTCTCTCTGTCTTATCTCGTTCTTACAGGCTGAACAAACCCACAATGTTGAAATGTTTTATTAAAGTCATAGACACAGATGACCAGGTCATAGAATAATTCTCCACTGCAGATACAAAAACTTTAGGAAACTTTAGAAGCTCATCATCCTTCAGACTATCGACAATACTTTTTGCACAGACTTAAGTAAAAACAGCAAAAGAGTAAGTGCTAATACTTCTGTAGATCTGAGAGTGTAAGTAAAGAGTACGACACCGAGAGTTTATATTTCTGTTCAGTATGGAAACAGAGCCTGACCTCCCCATTTCCTTCCTGCTCTTTCAGAATAAAGCTCCACTTGAAAGAGGTTTAAAAGGCCACAGATATTTATAGTCTGAGTGAGCATTTAGAAATCCGTCTGTGTTCAGGTGTCAGAGTTTGACCCAAAAAAACAGAGCCATGTCTTTGTAACATCACCGGATTAATCAATGCTTAATTTCACAGGATGAACCAGCAGAATGAGAAAACATCAGTCACATGATTCTAAGCAATCACATTATCTAAAAAGTTAAATGTTCACATGATCTTTAACAACTTTTCAATAAATCTGATTATTTGTAAATCTGAAAAAAAATCAGTTTTTTTCCCTGGAACATGTTTATAAAAATGAGACCATGTGACCAGTGTTCCTGCTTTTCCAAGAATATCATCACCCCTTACTGATAATCCTCTGACACAACTTTAAAAGTATGTGTGTGGGTGTCTCGCTGTGTGTGTATGTGTGTGTGCGCCCCCCCTTGCCCTCTGAGGTCAAAGGTGACAGAAAGAATGAGGTTAAGCTGGATGAAGATAGACAGCAGGAGGTCTGTCTCCCATAGACATCCAGCTGTAAAAAGAGGAGAGAGGAAGATGAGGAGAAAGGTGAAGATGAGAGGGAGGAGTCAGAACATGAGTTCATTGACGCCACAACCCCTATTGCTAAAAATGAGACCAAGTGGAATATCTCCTTACTTACTGAGTTATTTTGCACTAGGCTAGTAAGGTGACGCAATAAAATGAGCACTTCTGAGAGGCTGAGTCTCTCTGATGTGATTGTGGGAAGAGGTTCACAACTCTGTGAGACACTGTGTGGTAAAATACTTGAGCAATTTTAGATAATTTCTTTGGAATTAAACTGCAAATTGTTAGAGGCTGACAACATCAGAATGTGGAGAAATCTCTGAACAAGAGAGACAAGGTTGATACAGATACTGGATGGTTGTGATCATCAGGCTCTCATGTAGCACTGCATAAAGGGCAGACATGACTATGTAGTAAAAATCACTGCATGGGTTTTAATTCAAATCCAAAAGCAGTTTTCTGTGAACACACAAAGAGGAAACCATAAAATACAATGATCCAGAATTGCCTCCAACTTCTCTGGGCCTCCAAATGAACTGTGGCAAAGACAAAAACTGTCCTGAAGTTAGACAAAACACGACCTGAAATTCATTTTGGAAATCATGGACGCTTCATCCCACTCTCTGAAAAAACAGGAAATCCCTGACAGTAAGGGAATGAAAAAACAAAAACCAGGAACTGTTGAACAGTTGAGGTCCTATACCAGATATTATAACTCCAGAAACCGATGTGATTGTTCCATCTCTTCAACCCTAATGTTTATCTGTTTCTACTTATTTGTTAATTTGTAAAACAGTCACAGCTTTGTCTTTGGGTTTTATATTTCCTGTTTTCCTCTCTGAGGGTTTTATAAATAACATAAATAAGTTTATATATTTATAAAGTATATTTGTACAGATGAGAACATGTGTATCATACCTGATGAAGTGAGTGAGGTTACACCAGTACTGAGGATCCACATTGTCCATGTCTCTTTTAAAGTCATCTCCACACACTTCCACCTCCCACTGCAGCCTGGACTCATCACACGACTTATTGAGAATGGGGGTCAGGGTCTCCAATGTCACAGTGTCAGCAGCTAAAAAACCCATGATGAAGAGGAAAGAGAGGAGATAGGGAAAGAAGAAGAGGACAAGGAAAGGGATGATAAGTTCAATATTTTGAATCTGACATAAACTAAAATAAAAGGATATACATTTTTAATTCTTGTGTTTTTCTTTAATATATCTGTTGGATGTAATTAAAATTGTTTTTCCAGTATGTCATAAAACCTTATTTTATCCAGTCTGTTTGGTATTTTCTTATCTAGTTTTCTGGCTGATGTTTCTGTTTGTCTCAGTTGATGATTTATTTGATATTCGATCATATCTGTGGATAACAGTTTTGGTTTATAAACAGACAGACTGTTAAAAAAAAGAGAGAATAAATGATCGGAACTCACCTGTTGATGCTTTCATCATCCCCAAGATGTTAACTGAAAAGAAAAGAAGATTTATTTCAGATTATTTTATTAATTTTAATACTATTACGGTGATTAATCACTTATGACTTGTGACATATTAACCATAGTCATTATCATTGTCCACATCATTGCTATTAACATCAATTTAACATCATTATCATTATCGCTATCACTACCATAATTAGCATTATGCACTTTAATAACAAATCTTCATTATTATCATCTTCATCATCATTATCATCATCGTAATCATCATCATCATCAACAATATCAGTATCCTAATCACCAACATCCTAATCACCAATATTATCACCTTACTCATTCTCAACATTCTCATCACAACCATTAATACTATAATTGTCATTATCATCCAATTATTTTTAAATCATCATCTTCACCTTGTACTTCATTATCATTATTGTTATTATAATCACCATTGTCATCATTTTTATGATCATCAACATCATCATCATAAAGATGTTGCTAACATTATCACAACCAACAACAAGCATCCTCCTAAAATCACCATTGTTAGCATCATCAATCATCAGCAGTATTGCAAGCAATAATCACACTACCATTATTATTATATTTATTATTATCCATTTATAACCATAGTTGACACAATCATCATGAACATTGTCAACCATTGTATTTATCAGCAGCAGCATCCAAGCACCTTATGAAATCATCATCAACTTTGTGTCTATCATCACCATACTTTTATCATTCACTTTATCACTATCATCTGATCAATGCCATCGTCACAAACAACATTCTGATTCTCATCACCATTATTGTCATCATATCATCAGCAGCATCACAGTTTTCAGCCAAACATCATCATCACCTGATCCATCATTGACATCAACATTTTTATCTTTGGCATTGTCAACAACATCAACATTATCACCCTTGTTAATATTGAGGACTGTGTAAATGTTCATACCATAAATATTTTTTTACCATGTTCTATTCCATAATAAAATTATTATTAATATTATTATCATTACACTAGTTTGACTTTTATTATATCTGTGCTGATGCTCCATTGTTCTCTAATCTCTTCTTCTTTTCTTTTTGTTATTTGCTGTTACATCTCTTATTTATCTCACTGGCATGTACTTACTCAGTTCTTTGCTTTTCATGTAGATATTTGTTCAGTTATCTGATTTTATCAATAACTATTCTTTATTTTCATCTCTTAAGAACTTCAACCACTTTTACATGATTCAAATCATTTAAATTATTAATCCTCTTTGTCACTCTTGTTGTAATTTTGTTTGAATTATTTTTTTGGCATAACTTTGAAATCGCCTGTTTAAATTGAACCAAATGGTTGTTGTCTGTTGTTGTGATGAAGAAGTGTCACATGATGTGTAAGATGCCCTTTTTTCCATAAATGGTATAACTGGGGTCCAAAAATCTTACTATCTTAATGTCACAATCCCTAAGTGCACACATGAAGGTTAAAAGAAAGATTTCTTAAGAGGAGATTTTGGGAAAGAATCATGACATCCAGGCTGTGGGAGGGGGAGAGGATCTCAGGGTGAATAGGAAGAAGGACAATGACAAAAGACTGAGGGGAATTCTGGGTACAAACAAAAGCAGGAAGGGGCGAGGTTGAGTCCTGGGTGATTACAATGAAGACAGAAATAAAATAAATAAAAACACTGAGAGTAGAAGAAAATTCTCTCTATAACCTTTGAATCTCTCTGTGAGTTCTAGCAGCGCTGCTGGTGATTACAGGGCTGTGTTTTCCAGGAGAACTTGGTGAATAGGTGTCACGCTGTGATTCTGCGATAACAGCTTTGTTTACATTTTGTGAAAATACCTCTATTTGAAGTGAGGCCATATATCACAGGGAGGAGAAAACCACCCACAGACCACAGGTGAAACCCTCAGCTGAGCCAAACAGAACCAGAAAAACAGATCCATTGGGACTAAAAAAAAAACAAACAGGGCTCGGCTAAAAATATAAAATAAGGGCGATTACTGGTATCTTCACTGTCATCATCATCAGCAGCAACATCATCATCATCACCATTGTTATCATCATCATCGTAATTACCGTCATTATTATTAGCCTTATCATTCTCAGCTTCATCAGCATCACTTCATCATCACTAAGTTCATCATCTGAAATTAACATCATTATCATCATCAACCTGTTATTTAAGTCTTCACTATCACCACACATCATTATTATGAAATCAGTATTTTATCAGCAATCTTTCATCCTGTGACCATCATCATGATCATCATTATCAAGACCGCAACTATCAACATTTGCATCAGATTTATTATCTTCTTTATACACCAGTGTCCCAAGAAACGTGATCATTAAAACTGTGCCCTTGATTATCTTCTTTTTTGATCCTCATCCTTTTCATGATCACCATCATTATTATCATTAACACAATCATCATCACTACCACTACCATCATTATCACAGTCAGCAGTAATTTTATTATTATCATCCCCATCATAAGCATCAAGACCATTATTTTGATTGTCAATAACATTTCTTATACTGTTTTTAACACGATCGTTACCATTACTGTCATCATTATTTACATTGTCATAATACCCACCATCCCCACCACTATCATGATCAACATTGTGATCTCCTTCTTCATCCTGATCATATTTCTCATTATTATAACCACCTCTGTCATCACCACATGATTATTTTCATCCACATAAACAATATCACTTGTGCAAATATCATAATTTTCAGCTCCCATTGTTATTCATTTTCACACGGTCCTATCATCAAGATTATCCTTTTAATCATTACTATTACCATCATTATCATCAACATATTGTTATCTCTACCACCGCTATAATCATTACTTTAAGCAATATTTTATTCATTATTTAATCCTTTGGTTGACGCATCTAAATTATTTTAATCATCACCAACATCACTGTCATGAATTTCCTCACCATCATTAGCATTACTGTCATCATTTTCATCAACATTACCATTGTACTACCATGACCTCCATCATCATGATCAACATCATTACCATCTCTTTTATTATTTTGATCATAATTTTTATTACCATTGACAATAATGACACAGTCATTTTCATTGGAATAAAACTTCAGGAGAGTCGTAAGATCAATATTATCACCATTAACATTTTCAAATTCAGCATGATCATCATTGTCACGGAAATCTTTATTTCCATGACCAGCATAGTTCTTATCATGATTACATTATCCTCATCTACAGCATCATCTGCATCACCATTATTTTCATCATCATTTTTAGCAGCAGCATCCTTAATATCTTCTGGATTACCATAACCATTATCACACATGTAATGATCTTGATAATCATCGTCATCATGATCATCGTCCTCATCATTATCACCAGAGGCAGAATCATCCTCAACATTATCGAGATCATCACTGTCAGCAGGGCCATGATCTTGACCATAATCACCAGCATGATAATCATCATTATTGTCTACATAATATCATCATTATCTTGATCAACTAACATCATCATCATCTTAAAAATAAGGATTCCATTTAGCAACACTTTGACCATCATTACCATTGTTATCATGGTGGCTGTAACGATCATAATCATGATTAGAGTTTGTCATCAACACATTGTTATACCATCATGATCATGAATACTATTATTATCACTATCATCACCTTAATTATCATGGTTGTCATCATCGCTATCATATGCCACAATACAGTTATACCATTTTTCAATTTCCTTGATGTCTTTGGCAGCATTAAATCTGCTTTCTATATCGGCTCTCATACAGAAACATGCTCTGACAGGTGGAACAGGTGCATTGCAGAACAATACCACAACAAAACCTGACAGTTTAAACACCTGACACAAAGACACATCCTCTACACAAGCCTGCAGGCTACTGAGAATAATATTCTGTTTCTGCTCCTTCAGTTTGAATATATTTTTCATGTTTGGCACAGAAATAGCAGCAGCATTTTTATCACAAAAGATGACAAAAGACAGCAAAATAACCATCAGTTAAAATCAAAACTAACAGCAAAACCACCATCTTAACATCACAGCTACCATATCTAACACCAGAACTTCTATATCAACCAAATATCAAAACAGCAAACCAACATTTATGTAAATTACCCTGAAAATGAGTGCATTCCTTATTCCAGCATTGTAAAACTTCATTGATAAAATACTCAATTTGCATGTTTAGTGATTTAGTAAACATTTCATCTCTTAGTTAACTGAAATTCTTGATCAATACTCTATTCATTGCATTTTGCAGGTTGGTGAATGACTGAACATGAATATTATTTTCCCCTGAATTGCACTGTAAAGCTTAACTAAAGCAATTTTTCATTTGATAGTACAGATGTTTGAGCAGCAGAAGCCTGAGGCTGTTTCTCGCTCTGATAAGATGTTTATGAGCAGATGTTTCTGAAGGGATCTGTTTTTGTGACGCACATGTGGACCGACAGCCCGATCTCTGTTGATTTACTAAGACCACAGAGACCGTATGACAAACACATGACTAAACCTTTTCTTTCTAGCATATAACTGATTATTTTAAAATCATTACATTGACTGATTATTTAACATAATACTTCTTCAAATAATTGATTACTTTAACAGACATTTAAAAATGCTGTAAGTCTGGGATGTTGAATGCTGCAAGATCTCAGATCTCTCAGTACAAATTCAGGTCCAGGCCTGACAGAGACTACAAGAATATTTCTCTTTCAGTGCATTAAGATGTCAAACAGCAGATTCAATTAGTGATTAAATTATTGATTGAGCTGCAGAGCTGACCACAGATCAGAAACTTGCCTTCAGATAAAAACCTGATGTCTAAACAGGAATACAAACTAAACCTAAATCATGGACCGAAGGTTCCCTAAAACCAGATTTACTACATGCCACAGTATCACTACAGCACTAATTCAGATACAATACCTAATCAATTCTACTTCACTTCTATTACACAACTATAGTGACATTAAAGCTCCTGTAAGGAGGTTTTTTTTTTTACATGTATAAAATATGCTGAAACTCATATTGATGCCTTTTTATCATATCAAGAAGCAATTAAGACAAAGGGCGACAAGATTTACAACTCATATACTGTCATTAGGGCAAGGGGGTAAGTGTCAGTTGAGCAACTGAAGAAACAAACAATATCTGGGTTTTACAATATCTACATAAAACTTTCACAATGGATGATATATTCAACTGTTAAAAGTCATCAGGATGAGATATCTTTTGTCAAAGGACAAGCATGTAGAGGCAAATAAAAGTAAAGGCTGCTCTGTGTACAGAGGGCGCCGAGCTGTCACAAACCAATAGTTCCTCACAGGAGCTTTAATGTGGTAGTTGTATAGCAGATCAGTAACATTACAGATACAAGGGTCTGAGTAATAACTACAGAATTATAAACTGTGAGCAGGTTGTCACATGGATCACACATGACAGGGTCAGCAGGACTCTGGCACCAAGCAGAGGGGTTCCCACTTACTATTCTGTTGACAGTTTTAATTTATCAGTCGGTATTACTGCCAAATGTCCTGCAGTGTTGTGGTTTAACGTTAGCCTACTTCCTGTCTTTTTTCTTCACTTTGGTTGATGCTTATTTCAACCTGCTGTTTTCATATCTCTCAATAGTTTTCTCATCCATTTCGCTCCTCTTTTCTCCTTTTCTCTGCTGGTGACTAGTCAGCAATAACAACCAATGTAGACTGTTGCTCTCTTCAAGTAAACAGAGGAAAATTTTTAACGTGTGCTCCGTGTTGTTGTTTACAGTTACTTTCTGAGAGTACAACTTTTGCCAAAGTGTCAACAGGCAGAGGAGGACGGTGCCAGAATTCTCTCTGCAGATTGGTTTAGTATGAGAATGTGATCACGCTGTTGACTGTGTTGTTGTTAATGATTAATTGTTATTGTAAGCTTTTTAAAAAGGTGATAATTATACTTTAGTACCTCAAGTGTAATAAAACACTTTTTTCCCTTTTTATCCTTCTACAACTCAACTATTGCTGCATTCACGTGCTCCCCAGATGGTCCTGGTTTTCAAGTTGGTAAGTCGTCCCTCCAACATCGTGTTTAACATCATGCTTAATGTGATGTTACTGTTCAGTTAAGGTTGAACTGTACACACAGATCTGTACACACAATTAAACAATAACCCTGAAGCTTTTTATACTTCAGGTTATTATGCTGACAGAATCTCACACTGACCCATGTCTATAACCAACAGCATGAACTTGTGATCAAATTTCATTTTTATTTATTTATTTAGATCTCCATCAGCCTTGGCTAAGGCCATCGCTATTCTTCCTGGAGTCTACATTTACAATTAGCTCTCCATGGCAGTGCACAGACACAAAAAACATCACGCCACAAACACAAAGACAACGTCAATAACCACAACAACTCACAACAGCCTACAGGACAAAAACTAAACGGCAAAACTAGAACAATGTAAACAACATACACATATTACTGGACCTTATTCATTTCCACAGTGTAGCTATAGTTCTGAAATAATCAGATATTCAAATATCAACATACATTCCACATAACTGAATTAATTTACAGAAACAGTACGCAATACATAAGCAGACTTCAGATATTTCAAGTAAATCAATCAAGTAAACACTGATTGATTGTACCAAGTAGCTTCATCCAAATAAGGAGCTGTTTGACTGATAAATGTTCTTTCAGTAGGTCTTTAAATCTGTATCTGTTGTGTTCTGTGGCCCTGTAACTATTTGAGGGAAGTTAATGGATATTTTTACTGCTTCTTTTGTCAGTGCTGCTCTTTGAAGATGGAACCTGCACATTTAGGTCACGGCTCTCTGTTCAGAGGCTCATTGTTGTGAGCCAAAAATAAAGACTTCATTGATTCAATTGAGTTGAAATGGTAGCAAATAGGAAAAGCAATTACCCTAAAGCAAGATGTAACATTTATTCCAAGGAACCTAACAAGATTAACACATCTTGGAATAATATTTAAATTTGAATCTGTCAATGAAGCTCACATTAAGTGTGGTGAGACATGTTGTAATGAGACAATTTGTTTGGTAAGATTAGAGTGTTTTGAATTTAAGATGGAAAATGGAAATGTGGAAGAGTAGGCCAGAAGTAAAGGTACTTATTTTGCTAAGCTCCTTAGATGAGGTTGTAAAGCTGTGAAGTATGGCTGGATCTACTGCCTGGGACCAATTTGCCAAGACTGACACCAATCCCTGGCACAAGTTGCTGGTCATTGCCACTGGTCATTTGGTGTTTAGATTATTTTCAGCAAATCACAACAAACAGTCTCAGCCACTGTTTTTTTTAAAGCTCCTGTAAGGAACTTTTGGTTTGTGTCAAGTTTGGCGCCACCCTGTGGACAAAGCAGTCTAGCCCTCTAAATGCTTGAGAAGAGACTTTACAAAAGGCCTCATCCAGCAGAATTTTGACAGTCAAATGTATAACTTCTTGTGAATATTTTAATATGAATAAGCCATACTTTGAGTTTCAGTCTGTCACACATAACCATAAACTCGACAGAGGGGCCTTAAATACATAATTTTTCGGCTATGGGGGAGCAAACTTGTTAAGCGTCTTTGAGTGTTTTTAAAAACGCTGTACAATAAAATGATTTTTTTAAATTATTATAATTATTATTATTATTATTATTGTTATAGGGTGGTACTGCTGGACTTGTCTTTCTTGATGTGTATCCACTGCACTTCTGCATTAATACAATTACTCACATCTTCACAGTAAAATACCCCTATACTGGCAGCCTTTTTCAGCTGATAAATATATGTATTAAAAGTGTGTCGTGTACACTAGTGTTTGCAGTAGCTGCTTTTTGTAATAATAAAGTTTGACACCATAATCATAGAGTTTAGACTGCTTCTCTTTATTATAACATAAAAATTGTTTTAAAACTATATGATATATGACTATATGATAAAACGTGTTTAATGTAAAATCATGGTAACAGGCAGACGTGACTTAAGTGGCAACGAAACATAGATCATATAGATGCTGCTACACCCGCTGTGATGGAGCTGTAATATCAGTAATAACTGTAAACACGCCGTCCACCGTCACAGTGACGCTATAGTCGGCCACATCGATCAGAACAAACATAATCGATCATCGATACTCACCCAGAAAGCTAACAATGAAAAGTTTTAGGACGGCGGACTCTCGGGGATCCATCACGCTGAGATCCGGGTGGACTCTGGATCAAAGATCAGCTGCAGCTCCGAAAAAACGAGCATTTAAAGCGAACCATTATCCAAACAATCCCTGATGTTCGAGTCCGAGTCCGAATCACGACGAGACCGAAGAAACGGGGGATCAGATGGGAGTCCAAAACGGAGAAAAATCTGATCCCGGAGCAAGATCTCAGCCTCCTCTCGAGATGATCGCGTCCCTCTCTGCGCGCAGGACCACGCACACTGCCCCGCATCCTCCGAGAGGAGGAGGGGGGAGGGAAGGAGGGAGGGAGGGAGGGGGGGGGGGGGGATTATATTTCTGTACAATATAATCCCCCCTGCAGGTTTTAGAGACATTTTTATTATTGAACAGACACGTGATCACAAACACATGATCAAATCAAATTAAGAAGCTAAATTTCTTATGTTTTTTTATTATTTTAAAACACTTTTAAAAACTCAGTAATAAAAATAACATCTTACGGTTGCAAATTCTCGTCGAAAGATATAATAACTTAGAAACTGGATCTGCAGCCAGTCGTTATAGGTCATAATCTGGAGTAACACTGACCCCATGTGGCCGGATATTAAAATGCACCTGCATCAGTCATAAGAGCATACACTCTGCACTTTATAACACACACGCTGCTAGTACTAGAATTGATCCTTTTCATTCTTTATGGCTTTGATGAAACTACAAGGGCCAAAATGTACCAAAAATATCTCCTGCGGGATTACAGCACCCCCAGTGGTTTGAACTGTTCATAGAGGATGAGGCCACACCTTCAAGATGTTTATGCCAAATTCTAACCCTACCATCCAAATGTTGAAACTGAATTAGATACTCGTGAGACCGGGCACCGTTTTTTTTTTTTTTTTGGTCTTCTACTGTCACACGTTGGAGAGTTTGTGTGAATTGTAGCCTCAGGTTATTGTTCTTAGCTGACAGAAGGGGCACCAGGTATGGTCTTCTGCTGCTGTAGCCCATCTATTTCAAGGTTCAACACTTTGTGTATGAAGAGATGCTCCTCTAGACATAAACAAATTTTTAAAACTTTGAAATTATGTCTGTGTACATTTTTGCCTTAATTAGATAGTACAGCTGTAGAAAGACAGGGGATGTGGGGAGTACAGAGTGGGGTAAACATACAGCAAAGGGTCATGGCTGGGTATTGAATTTGTGGCCACTCCAGAATACATAAAAACTTATGTATTGTATGTATGTAACATAAAAACAAATAAAGGGTTATTACACTCTTTACTCCCAAGTGAATCACTAAGGATGAATACATAAACAAAGTGGTCACCCCATACTGCTTGTCACTGCTTTTGACATTTCTCTGTCTGTTTAAATCTTCCTCTCTAGCCAACCAAACTGATGAGATTTAGTGATGTGGAGGTTGCAAGATCAAGATTGTCGTTCTAAACCAAGATTAGTTCAGAACTTTTTACATTATGATAGCAAATATGTGTGATATATCGACAACATTTGAGACCATGTGTGGTGTCAAGATGAATGTCTTTCTGTACTTTTTATACACACATATTTTTTTAACGTATTGATATATGTTTATATGTCAGAGTTAGAATAGATGATACATTAGTTCATCTATACATACATAAAGACATACTGTCACGCATATAGACAGACATACATTTACAATATATACAAACAAGAACTTTATTGATCCCCAAAGGGAAATTCATTCATACACAAACACATATAGAATAATACATACAGACACACATACTGTACACACATGTATATATATATATATGTATAATTTACAATCATATTGTTATATGTAGTTTGGGTTATAAAGACACACCTTGATATGTCCAACTCTTGCAAACAAGTTGCCTCATTTAAGCAGGTATTTTACAACCAGCCCTCAGAGCAGTAGGACAACTATACCCCCCAGAACTTTTGAGCTAATGCCTTTGGCTTGATCAAACTCTGCTCAAATCAATGTTAATAATTTCTGTCTGTCATATATTTTCAACTAAGAAATGCCAATCAACAAAAACATAATTTGCATGAAAGAATCTGGCCTCCTTATCTTAATAAATAAATAAATAAATAAGTAAATAGAAAGTCCTCTCACCTCCTGTTTATATGTCTGTTTAAAGAATAGCTTTACAGAAATGAGTATGGCATCATTTCAGTGTTAATATTTAGTGAACATGATGACACAGCGCCTTCATGGCTGTAAATAACTCAGTGACAACCAACACGTGAGACAACCAATCAGTCTCCCCTAAAGAAGGTCTATTAGATTTTATTAGGTTTGACATAACTATGATATCAAGCCTCAAGTAGCTCTATGAGTCCTGAGAGTTGGTGACCGGGGGAGGGCAGCCAGGTGGTGACAGAAACATCACAGGTGCACCTGACAGCTGGGTGAACTTTGACCCCTGCCATGATAGAGGCACGCAGAGGGTTCGGCTGTTCTCGGGCCTGTCTCTATAGCTTCTGTAATGATGTGAGGATGAGCTGAACCGGATCACTGTGCCGGTGGACTAGATGTAAACGGTGGGGCTGAACCGGTTTATATGATGTCAACAAGTGACGCAGCTCAGTCTGAGCTCAAAGCAGAGGCAGCCCAGCACGGAGCAGGACGCACACGGTCTGCAGCTGCACGGTACGTGAAAAACGCCTGTAAGCCTCTTTAAAACTCACACACGCTGTTTAAACTGAATATTTCTGTAACTTATCGACTTATTTAATGTTACTACAAACTTTTGAACTCATTTGGCGCGCCATGGGATGTTCCGTTAAGAGAAAAGGAGCCGCGCTGAACTCCACCAAAAAATCTTCAAATATAACGCTTTGTTGCGTGTAAGGAAACAGAGAGGAAACCAACAGACATGCGGATAATTCCCACGGATAATATCCTTATTTTAGTGAATTCGGCACATGTTGCAGTCTATAAAGTGCGTCGCAGTGTCCAGTTTACCGTGTCTAAAAGCAGCAGGAGGCGGAAAGACTTTTTAATGATGTCCAGCTGATAAGGACTCGGGTCAAACTGGTTTCTTTTGGGTCTGGACGATTTTTAAATTGGTATGATATTTCGACATGGACACCAAGTATCATGGCTTCAGTTTAGAACACTGCACAGATCACTGACGCTGCCTTTGCTCGTCTGTGTTATCTGTCCAAACAGTCACGCACACAGATCTTGTGCTTGTGCCTGTCCACAGCTCTGCTCTTGATCTGAACATCCTCCTCTTAATACTTCAAACCTACCTGCAGTATGTACACATGTATAGGCTGACAGGTAAACAGCTCGCTTTGTAAGGTGTGTCGGCAAACAGAACAAGTCTCACTCTGCTCCCATTCCTCTGAAAAGAAGTTCAGGGTGAAAATCAGCTGCAGAATTTAGAACATGTTTGTTAAGGCTGAAACACACCCACTCTGAGCTTATGTAAGTGTTAGCTGGCAGGGAACTCACACACACCCACAGAGAGCACACGGACGCACACAGGCGCGTACTCTCACTTAAGACACACACACATAATGAAGCCTGCATCATTGAAGCTGAAAAAGACAGCAGTCCTCGGTATCCAATCAGAAAAAAGGGACGCCTTGCTAACATGTTACACACGTGTAACACACATGTAAGGGTGTGAATGTAAGGCGGTGTTGAAACAGGACCATCTTCTTATATCTGGTGTCAAGTCAGGAGAGAAAAGCAGTCAGCTGGGTGAGCAGGCAGGACCCCCCAAAAAGAAAGTTTATATACGCTATACCTATCTGTATTTTGGAGCCTATTTAGAGCCGTTGGGCAGGCTTGGATGCAACTTTTCTATTATGTGCATTGGTTATAAGACGCAGGATATTATTGGTGTGACATCAGTATGATTAAAATGTTAAATATCGGTATTGGCAGATATATACAAACTTCTGCAGACATGTTATGGCTAAAGTGAGGCATATTTATATGCATATAACAACAGCTTAGACATGTTGGTTGCAAAGAAGTGTTGTGAAGTGTAGGAGACAGACAGGAGATGCATCCTGGAGATGGACTGGTCAGCAGAATAACAATCAGCCATTATCTTTGCTTTTCAATAATTGGTTTAAAATTTGTCTAAAACATATTATTGACTAAGATAACCATGCATAATTAAGGAATCTGTGTTTCTTTATTTTAACCTCAATATATAACTTGTGATATTTTTAGGTCTTGGCTATTTCAAACAGCTGGACAGAAATCCAAAAGTCATTGTTGCAATACTTTACTTAGCTGAAACTGATATTATTTCATCTACATTTATTTAATAAAATGTTCACTTCAGTTCAGTAATTTTGTTTTTCATTTCTTAATATTAATAACTCAATTGTTGTTTTTTGTCAAATGCCAAACAATAAAATGTAATTAAAAATCATAGTCAATAAGTATCGGCCGAAATGCTGTTTCATAATTGGGTTTAGCATTGGCCGCCCAAAACATACAATCAGTCGATAACTAATGCATTCCTCGATGCTTATTCCACAAAAAAAAAAAGAGAGAAATGAAAAAGCAAACATATATTATTGTTTGAATCCAATGTTGTTTGTCCTGTTTGAATTCTGGTTTTGAACAATGAGGCTGTCATAATAAGAGTAGCAGGTAAATCCTGTCACAGGAGAAACTGTTCTTTCAGTGAGAGAAGGTGTATATCTTTAGTGATATTAGTATTGGTTAAGATGAGCTTGAACATATCTGAATATTGAAAACTCCAATATGACATTGCAGTATAGAGATCGACCGATGAATCTGACTGCTTAATGTCAGTTTGAAATAATCAGCATTGGCTAAAATCTCAGCTCAGGATGCTGATAAAAATAAAGAATAATGTCTTTTGTCACTGCAGGCTGCCTAGTTTATGTAGCTGCTGTCAAGCAAGATCACTGTCCTCCTAAATGATAACACATAAAATTGGGGGAGGGGGGATTATGATTTTTCACTTTTACAATAAAAACTACAAAGTTATAAAGTTTTGGTGTCCATACTACATGTATGCAAAGTTTCAAATCATAAGGTAAATGTATTTTGTCATAATCCTAAAAAATAGATGTAACCTGCTCAAATATCAGACAAATGTGAGACCGTAGTTTATGTGTGAGGTTCACTGAAGTCTGACGCAAGAATTATAGAGTCTCCTCACTGGTTCATCTGTGCTTCCGGCCGAGTGGACTGGCCCCCTGACCCTAACAGTGTGTGAAGTGACACCCAGAGTAGAGCGGTGTAACCATAGAAATAATATGTATACGTGTATAGCTATTAAAGAGGTATCAGAAAGTAAAAAAGAAAGTAGAGTCTAAAAATGCACAACATCCCCCCTTTAAATGACAGCAAATCAAATTTGACAGGTACGGACATGTGTTTTTATCCTGTTATGATTTACAGAATAATGATAATGGTGATTGATATTGCCCTGACATACATATGTCATGTTCTGATGTTTATAGCATAAACCACAGTAATTTTCTTTCCTTTTCAGAATTAATGGGGCACACTCTATAAGAGTTTGACTTCTTTCTGCTCCTTTTCATTCATGTTTGAGATTTATTCTTGTTGTATTGAATGTTTTATATACTAACAGAATGAAATCAAGTATCAGCAATCAAAAAACAATCAACAATGCAAAATTCATCTGGAACATAACCATCAATGTTCAATTAATGTGCACAGAGTGTCTTTTATGATTAAATAGTTATATCTTATTATTAGTGACTTCACAGTGTGATATCAACATTATATAGAAGCTGACCTGCTCTGTTAATATCAGCCAATGAAAAAACACACATCAGCTAACCACTAATTTCTTATTCACTGCATGTTCATTGAAATATGTGGTGAATTACTGTAATAGAGGACTTGACTTCTTGGCCAGCCTGTAAAAATAAGGGTAGAATAATATCATATGCCACTTAGACTTTAGGTGGCCCAGAGGTCAGTGTTTCACAGTCCAGGATTTATAAGGACATAATAAAGCACAAGTAATAAGAATGGGTCTGGGGCGTCCTCCCTAGGAAGTTAGGGAGCCAAACATTTAATCAAAACATGAAGGTTTAAAGTTATTTTAAGGAGAATCGATGACTTAAAAAGAAAAAAAGACAAAATTGACTTTTAGCTTTTAAAAAAATGGAGATGTACATTTTTGTAAAAACCACGATGTCAGTCTTCAAGAACCATAAATTAAATGAATTCTGTGATTATAACTGTCCCTGTCATTTGGACCAGGGCAGGTGATTTGTATGAATGTTTGTGAGCAGTGTGTTGGGACAACCTTTTAAATGCTGACCGTGTATCTGTCACACTGCTGTCATCAGTGTTTCCTTGTGTTTCTGAGGCAGCCCATTCTGCGACCCCCTCTCTATTATGCAGCCCCCTCTCTGTGCAGTAAATGCAGTTCCTGCTATCCTTAACCATGTTGCTAGTATCCATCAGACACTGCAGTTTTGTTTTTTGCTGAGCACCTGCCTCCACACACAGACTCATGCAGCATGCAGGGGCAGGACTGACACTAACTGGTATCTCTCTTATGTTCATACTGACATGAAGCAGAGGTGTAAATGCTTCTAAAAAGAAAAAGCCAGTTGCAACTTGTTTTTTGAAACGCTCCAGTGATATCGATTGAAAGAATAGCCAGATGTAATTAAGTGAACTGTTGGCTGTTTGGCTGCCAGCTGGCGCCTGTGGAGAACAACTGCTGTTATGCATCATCACACCATCATAGGGGCTTGCTGTTGAGGAGAGATGGTGGCATCTATGATCTACAAAGAGGATGCCAAATGTTGATTTACACTTCTCTTCAGACCCAGCATTTCTGGATCATGTTTCTGTGTGAATCCTTCTTTGTATGGTTCAGTTTTAGTTTTCCACATTTGTGGATGCAGCAACAACTGTGTACACAGACAAGGGTTTTTTGGGGCGGATTTTGAGCCCATGCAGTGATTTCCAACATAGAGTCATGTCTGCCTTATTGCAGTGTTTGAGGATCCGAAGATCAAAGCCACCCAGTCCTGGTTTTGGGACTTGCCCCCTCTGTACAGAGTCATCTGGAGTCCATTATTCTCAAGCAGTTGAATCACTCGCTCTCGCACTCTCTCACAAAGTGTGAACTGCCACCTTTACCGCTGAGAGGACTCAGCCTCTCTGGAATGTCCTTTTTGGGCTCAGTCATGTTACTCACCTGTTGCAGATTAATTTAATTAACTTGAGATGCTCCTCTGGGTGTTTCTTAGCATTACACATTTTTTCCAGGGTTTTATTGTCTGTGACATAACTTTTTAAAGATGTGTTGCTGGCATTGAATTTTAATAGAGCACATATTTTTCTCCAAATAATGTTTTTTTAAACAAATAATTTATATTTTTTATATTGTCAAGGAAACATAGGCTTTTCATGATTTGCAAACCATTTGTTCATACAGCGCTCAGACTGTTTTGAAATATGGGTTATATATGTGATACAGATGTCAACAGTACTCAGGGGAGAGGTGAGAAATGAAACAGTCGAATCACCATAGCACACACATACACACACACACACACCCACTGACACACACCCTGTGCCATGTCAGGTCATGTTGTGTTTTTTTATTTAAGACATTAGAGAGTAATGAGCGTGATGCTGCCCTGAGGTGAGGGAGGAGACGCAAAGAGTTATACAAAATCAGGACACCTCATTTAGAAATCACACACGCACACATTTACTAACACACACACAGACGCGGCAGTACAGGTAAGAATAACAAGACTCTTCATCCTCTACATAATTTTTGGTTCATGCAGTTTCTTTTTCTTGATCATCACATTTTGAAAAAAAGGTCAAAGGTTTTAGTTTCTGTGTGTGTGTGTGTGTGTGTGTGTGTGTGTGTGCGTGTGTGTGTGTGTGTGTGTGTGTGTGTGTGTGTCTAGTGATCGAAGTCCAGTTCTTATTGAACTCCTGAGTCTTGTTAAACTGAAACTGAACTTAACAACTTGACTTTTCTATGGTTCATCCTCAGCTCTTCTCCCATAGTGGTATCACTGGTTTAACATTATTCCAATCAAAACGTAATAATCTATAATAATCCACTGTAATGTTTTTCAGAGAGCTACAAGATGAAAGTTTTCAGCGTTTTGATAAAAATCCAACTGGACAGCAGAGTTTCCCATCAGCCACCAGACAGACAACAGCACATACAGGTAAGACACAGCACAGGTCTTTAGCCTCCTTGCTAACATCCTTAACTCCAGTATGCCAAACTCAAACCGTAATATCTGTAAAACTAAAGAGTTGTGTTGCGTCCATGGATAGAAAAAAAACAATCTTTATGTTCCAGACTTTCAACGTGTTCATTTTTACTGTAAGAACGGTTGCTTGGTTCATCTAGATTATTAAAATTTGATGTTTGATTTTTCACAGCTCCGGTTGTCTTAGATGACTCTGTAAGAAGAAAAGAAGAAACTCCTCAATGGGCCTCAAAGATACCCGATAGAACCACATTCACCTCCTCTCTCTACCTACAACTCTGCAGCGCTCCGAACTTCAGAGCGAATTCGAGACCAGACCTCAGAGCCAATCAGAATCCAGACGCGAGTCTGCACAGGTAACTTATTAAGCTTAGAGGAAGTACTTTTATCAGTTTCTTAAGAGCTCTTTATTATGAACTGAGTCATCCCGCTTGAGTGTGTGAAAACATTTGAGATTAATGTTTATACTTTTCTTATCAGGAGAGGTCATTGGTCGATCACATACCTTTTACTTGAAACCAGCTAATCGTAAACCATGTTCGCATCTTTTATGTTGGACTTACTGTAGCTATGACCGACCCTTCGACTGACACCAAGCCCAACCAAACACGGTCTTTTCATGCATGTTCACGTTAAACTCTTACTGAGCAGTGAGTGTTGCCGAGTAACATATTTCCAACCTCTTTACTGATCAAAATATCTGCACATGGTTTGAATAAGACCAACTACAAAAGCAGATAAGGAAGTACAGAAATGTGTGGATGCGTAAAACGGTCTTAGTGTGAAACTAAACAAACACTGACTCAGCCCAAAGGGAGGGGAAATGGGGAAGGTGTGATTAAAACCATCATTATAGGTTAAGCATTTTACTAAAATTCTTACATAAGAATTATAAACACTCTTTAAGGGTTTAAAGCCTCTGGAGAGATGGCCAATCACAGTCATGTGGGCTTGTGTGTTTTGCGTGTGTGTGTGTGTGTGTGTGTGTGTGTGTGTGTGGGGGGGGGGGGCAGATAAAATGAAACGTTTAAAACAATGGCTGAAATACTGGTGTTTTAACACACCACTGCAAGAAATTTGAGGTGTTTTTGGATCTGAAAATCACGTCAAGTTATTTAAGGTGAATCAGAAAGGAAGTATGGAGTCTGAAAAAAATTCATAATAACCCCCCCCCCCTTCATTGCTATTAAAAAGGGATTGGCATTGAACAGGATCAGGAGTCTGGCTTCACAGACATAAACCTGCTAAAAATATACACTAAAGTGCAACACAAACATGGTTTAAGTCTACTTGATGCACAGGGTTTAGCTTCAGGTCGGTGGGAACTTTCAGCTCCGAATCAGATGTAAGGCTACGCTCAGCTGTTGCACCTGGCCTTTTGGGACTAACATGACCATATATGGACATGTTTTACTGGAGGTGTGATAATAATGAAGGTGCAATGACTGTGTGTTAGAAAACATTGTGGAAGTGTGTCACAAATGCTGCTGTAATGTGTTCATGTGACTGTGGGAAAGTTTAGTTCAGAGGACAGAGGAATGCTGACCATCCTGCTGAACCACAGACACCTAATCCCATACCTGCTTCACACACACACACACACACACACACACACACACACACACACACACACACACACACACACACACACATGCCCTTACAAAAAAAGCATATTTGTTATTTATTTATCTGAAAAACATTTAATAAAAAAAGACTCAGACGACTTACCTGCCTGTTTATTCACCTGTGTACATTAAGAGTGTCTCAATTAGTCACAGTGAGAGAGCTCAAACTGATTTATCTCATTAATCCCAGTCATGTTTATTGACATGTAGTTTATCATTGTAATCCCGTTGACTCCTCTGGTGACAGGTGAAGACCGTGCTAATGTCACTCTTTTCTCTTTTCTCCTTTCAGTTCAACTCCGAAGGCTGAAGCTACAAATAGGAGCAGCCAGGTAAGAACAGATTCAGTCTTTATTGTTGAGTTATAACAGGCATCCAATCAGAGCTCACAAAATTTAAGACAGGTAAAGTTTTAAAAATCTGCCGGTGGGCTACGTTAGTAAGCTTGGTGGTCAGAGATGCTTGGTCAGTTTATCCCAAACCCTGTTTTCATCCCTCCTCTCCCTCTTTCTCTTTGTATTGCCAACTATATTTTTCCATCCCAGCTAAAAATGATATAAGAATGGACTATGCTGTATTGTTTAGTTAGCAGGTGCACGTAAAAAGACCATAAGATCTGAAACATCATTAAGAAAATATCTCAAAATTATCCATGGATTTATTTTATTTGTAGAAGTAACAGGGTGCGTATTTACACCTGTGCGCTATGACAACCTGTTTGTCAGGGCCTGAATCTCTAAAATAGCTGCAGCATGGGAACAGAGCCTTGTTTTGTCTTACAGTTTGCAGCTCAAATATCAGACACCTACTGTAAATACCACAGAGCATCCAGCTATGCTGCCAGTCATTTGAATATGAATGACATAATAATCTTCGGTTCACAGGGAACATTTAGCTTGTGTACATGCAAATTTAAGTCAAGCTACAGTCACAGCTCAATAAGGCGATTTACTTGAACCACTGTCCATATCTTTGTATTCAAGCACCAGCTGATATACTGACAAAAAGATGTCTGACTCTGAGTTGTCTGTGGACTGCCTCCTAGTTGACACCATGGACTGCCTCCTAGTTAAACACAGCTCTGTATCTTTTATACCTATAATACAAACGTTTTGTCTTCTGTTGAGGTTTTGTTTACCACCTGTCTTCCTTTGATGCATTTAAGAGTTCAACTCAGGGTCAAAGCCAGCTTCGTAAACCGTGGAGCATGTGCAGACCACCTAAACCAGTTATGGTCTGATTGAGGTGGATACATGCAAGATCAGACTAACGTGTTTATGTGTATTTTAAAATTCCAGTTTCAGTCAGAGTAATGCGATTAACTGACTACTTTTTTAACATTATTATATTCTGAGTTAAAGTAATTCTGCTTACTGATCCGTGCTTGTATCCTGTGATCATGTGAACCCCAAAGGAACAAAAAACTCGTTAAATAATTATTCATTATCCACATTACAGAGATCTGACAGGAATATAAATTAGTTCACCTGATCAGGTCTTGAAACCTTTTTTTCTGTTTACAGATTAATGGACAAACGTCAAAACCAGACTCAACTGTGAAGGTTTTTACTGATCCAACATCCTCAGGACAGCTTGGATTTTCAGACAGGAGGGCTATAAAGGACTGCATCATTAATCAGACTTCACCAAATGGAAAGTCAGGAGCTCATGAGCGTGGGGAATTACACTTAGCACCATTTATGAAATATCACACCAGGTCTGATAAACAAACAGATCCTGTTGAAGCAGCCAATCCTCCCAGAACCATGTTGTCTTCCAGTATGGTTACGGTTCTTGCTCCCCACTGGAGCGGCAAACTGAGACGGGGCAAAAGGTTTGAGGGAATCAGCAACCCTGAGGCTCAGGGAGCTTTACAAGATGTGACAAATTCTAGAACAAACCGCGAATATGAACGGTTTCAGGGGACTATGGACAGGTCACCCATCCACAGATCACACGAACCCATGAGGGTTCCATTTCCTGATACCAGGAGAAACACAGAGACCTGGTCGACCAAGAGTGGTCCTGCAGGTTTGGACTATGAGAGAAGGAGGAAAATGAGTCACACTGTCTCTTTGGATATAAACTATGGAAGGATGGACAACCGAAATATGGATCCTCTGAGCCCCGTAGCCACAACTCCATCCCCCACATCACCCCATTCTCCGGCTCAAATAAGGAGTCCACAATCTCTGAATCAAAGTGGACTGTCACCCTTAAGCTCCAAACCAACCACCAGCAGTCTTCTTCTGTCTTTAAGAAGATTTAACTCCAGCAGCAGGCTTTCCACTGCAGGCTCCCCCCTTTCTGAGATGAACCCTGCTCCAGCACTCCAAACTCGCCTTTCTCAAACTCGCCTTTCTCAAACTCGCCTGGATAATGAAAAAGACAAGCCAAATCCACTCCTCTCTCCATCGTCCATTTCCTCAAAGACAGCAGACACTGCCCCCCTCCATTCACCACTTTCACCTCTTTCCACCAATCAAAGAGAAAAAACTGTGTTTGAAACTCGCTTCTTTCCTGATAAACCCAAAGAAAAAAATACAGAAGGTAGCCGGCAACCTAAAACAATCACCAGGGCCCAGTCCAGTCTGCTCACTTCAAAACAAGCCCTGATAACTCGAGGGTTAACAGAAAGGCACCAAAACTTTAGGGGTCAAGACACAAACTTGTTCTCTCAGAACTTTGGCTCTTCTCCAAGACTCTCAAACGAGCAATCTCCCTGCATCCTTCCTCGAAGAACCACTCTGACCTCCACCTCCTGGTGGAAACAAGTTTCTCAGGAAGGCAGCTCCCCACCAGAGCTCAGTGATACAATGAGAGTGAAAGACAAGCCAAACACGCCCTGTGCTCCACCCGGTAACAATAATAAAAGTGACATCAAAAGACTTAATAATAGTCAAATTGCCAACAACAGACACAATAATAACACAACCGAGTCTGTTTGCAAAAGCAGCATGAAACCATTAACTGAGCAGCAGGGAGGATCCCAAAACCTCAACCAAAGAATCTCAGAGGATTCACCTGAACATGATTCAGACAAGCTGGTCTCACAACAAAATGGATCCAGATTCAACAACAGAGAACCACAAAAGCCTCAGAGTTTACCTGATGCTTTTTTACGGTCTAAAATTAGCAGAGCAACAGCACTAACAACACTGAGTCATCCTAAAGAAGTCAGAGAAGATGACGAAAGTGAAAAAGCATTTACTGCAAACACGGGTGGATTAACTCCTACTCTGCAAAATCCCAGGGCTTTAAATGCACCCACTGAGAGCATCAGCCAACACCAAAATAATCAGTGTGCACTCAACACAAACAGCTCCATCACATCTCCACACAGCAAGGACTCCCAAAGTTCAATCCCACCTCCTCTATCTCCTGCTATCACCAACGTCCTCAACAGTCAACCCCTCATCCCTAAAACCGCTCCAGAAAACTATGAAATGGATGCCTCCTTCCACTCTCTTCCTGTTTCTGGTCAGAAGACAATTCTGACTCAATCACACACGGACTCCTCTTCACAACCATCCACATTTACAGTGGGCGTCACACCTCCTGGCTTCGAAAAAAGCTATGATTATGTCACCAAGACATTCCAGCCTAAAACTGCATCCACTCTAGTTCCCACATTCAAAGTTTTCTCTGAAGCAAAAACCATTCCTCTATCCACCTCTGTCAAACAGCCAGCAGCCACAGATGCCCCCAGCATACCCCGCCTTACTCCCACTACTGTTTCTTCTCTCCTAACCCCGCCTGCCACGCCAAACATAACCAGCCCAGACTCAGACTCCTCCAGCCCTCGGGAAGGAAGCGATTTCTCAAGCGGCCAAGAGAGAGACTCAAAAAAACAGCGCTCAGAGGGAAAAAGAGCGAGAAGAGTAACATGGGAGGACTCTGTGGATCCGCATAACTCTGAGCCAATCAAAGTTAAGAGTCAAGAGCTGTCTCAAGCCCCAACAAGCCCTCTCTCTGCCCCCAGGTCCTCACCAAGTAATAGAGCTCCATCATTTTTTTCTTTCCTAAGATCAAGCAGTCCAAACATAGATGCATATCCTCTCTGCTCTCCTGTCAACAGAACCACTAGCATGCAGGAAGAGAAAGGCGGGAATTATCGCTCCTTTTCATCTGACTCTGCTGATTTAGCATCCAGGGAGAAAGACAAATCCAAGCTAAGGCTAAGTGATCCTCTGATATTAGACCAAAAAACACAGGAGGTACCCATATCCAGGCAGGAGGGGACACTATCAGTGGAGTCTGACACAGTCCAGTGCCGTTCCTCTGCTGCCCTTTCCCTCCCTGACTTTTCAAGTGGTTATAAGCTTCGATACAGCTCTCCACCTTACTCCACTCTCATGTCTGCAAGATCAACGCAAGGAGAAACTAAGCCGTCAATAACACCCAGATCACAGCTCTTCCCACAATCCCTAAATTATACCCCACATCTTTCTAAAAACACTCCTTTAAGTTCAGCCATGACTTCACCTACAACAAAAGCCTCTCCTACACTCATCAGCTCCCTTCAGCCTTCAGCTCTGTCTTTACAAACTCAACCCCCACCTCAGGAACGTTCAAACTTTAGGGTTTCAGAAACTTATCAACTTAACAATAACAACAGCAAGACCAACAGCCAAGACCGCCAGATATTTCTCGTCAACAACAGAGTACAAATCGGCTCACGTTCTCCACAAGGAGCTGAAGCACAAGACCAACCCCCAACATGTGTAACCGAGACGCTGGTTTATGGCGTCAAACCCAAAGGAGATGGAACTGCCTCAAAAAACAGCACACTGCAACCTTTGCAACAAGCTGCCGACAGGGCAGTGATGATGGAGAGCAAGTTCAGTCAGCGACAACACAGAGTGCAGAGTCAGGAAACTGCAGGTGAACCAGTAAGTCGCTTAGAGCAGTGCTCGAGTGGAAGCAGCTCCACAGACAGTCACTCCACTGATGAAGGCAGAAGGAAAATAAAGGACAGTGTCCTCTTCAAGAGCAGGTTTTTTTCTGTGGAGAACAACAATGAACAAAGCCCAAAGAAAAGCCGGTTTGCCCTGAAGAAAAGCATCAGCACACCAAACTCAAACTTATCAAGATCAGAGTCAGACAAAGCCAACAAGACCAACAACAGAGTAGACCAAGTCCTTAGCAGGCTTAGACAAACATTCAGCCCCAGACGGACGGACGATGATGTATCGTTTCCGTGGAAATGGAGGCGAGGCTCGCAAACACCTTCCATCAGTGGTTCCAGTGACGTTAGCGGTGATGCACCTCCAGAGGCCAAGACCCCAGAGAAATTAGCGCAGGAGAAAGAGGAGGTTCTGATGGACAGTGAAAAAGAGGCGGACGACAACAGCCAATGGACACATAACCGACACTCGCGCCTATCAACACCAATGTCAGGAGGCTCAGTTGAGAATTTTTATGTTTGGTCTGAGAAATCTCCTTCAGAGAAAGATCACGTCCAACAAAGTTCAGGCACAGACCACACGTCTAAAAATAAAATCAAACAACAGTTAGCAAACCAAAGTCCAACAATACACCCATTTGACCTTTACAAAGACAACAGAACAGACATTCAACCAGCAAACCAGCTCCTTTCCTCTCCAGATCCCAGTCCTGGAAGGAGCTCCAACCTCTCAACTGGATATCCTTCCCAATTCAGAAAGTCCACACCCAGCCCAAGGAGTCCTTTTTCCCCCTTTAACTCTCTCTCACCTCTTTCTCCTTTTCCCACACCTGAAGTGGCAGATGATGTGTTCTACAGTCCAAAGCTGCAGCGTCGCAGGGAATCCCCTTCCCCAGGTGAGGAGAAACCAGGAGAAGGTTTCAGTCTGAGTGATTCTAGGAGAACTCGGATATCCACTGGCCCTCCAAGTCCATGTCCATGTCCAGGTCCTGGACAGGACAAGAACGGCTCAGCATCCTTGAAGTATGGCATCGAGCCTAGGCGTTTATTTTCTGTGAGTTCGATACAATCCTGTCGACCCTCAGGGCCTGGACGTATCTCCACTGGATCACGGTTCATGAGTGTGGGTGACCTCTCTGAACCTGCTTTGACTGGTGGGGAAACCAGAAAAGACCTGGACCGGAGGTCCGTCTCTCCTGATTGGACCACAAAATTTGATTCCATCCCCAGTAAGGACCGTCTAATGTCATATTTCCCTAGTGACCCAGGGAAGATGAGAACCAGATCCCTTCCCCGGTCACTGACCAGACGTTTGGCAAACTGGAGCTCAGAAGTCTTAGATTCCCCACCTGAAGCTTCAACCTCAAAGCCAGCTCGCCTGTGGAGTCCTAACAGTATGAACACCTGTCACTTTACATGGGACACAGAGTGCCCTCCAACCCCTCCTCCAACTCCCCCCCTGTCCCCAGTTCCCAGACGCATGTCCAAACCTTCCAGCCAGTCCCCCCCTGCCTGTCCACTCTCTCCAGGACCACAGAAGGTTGAGAGTTCGCCCTCCAGGGGACATCTGCCATCAAGAGGTTATGTTTCCAGCCTCAGCCCCTATAAGGAGTCCTCAGACAGCAGCTCAGACACAACAACAGATGATGAGTATTACTTAGAAACAGGTGAAGATGACAAAGAAACTGAACTGTGAAAGCAGCGAGTTTGCCAAAGTCCTCCTTACTGTTTCTGAGATCCCAGACTTTGACTTTGGGCTGGATTGTGCATTAAAAGCAGGCAGGCTTAAGACAGAGACCTGAACTAGAGTGAAGATGGGTCAAAGACTTTGAGGGACTATTTTGAGTTTGACTTCAGTTATTGTTTACTTTCATTGTCACTGAGGAGATGTCTCGGATCGGGTGGTTGCATGGTTAGCTTTGCAAAGTGGTGAAATGAGCATGCACAGTAATTTTGGATAAGATTCAAAGGTGTTGTTTAAGTTTTTACAGTTTACTGTCCATGTCTGCAGATCTGCAATGGAGGGATTTCACACTTCATGTAAATATTAATGGTGGGGACAGCTGGATGTCATCTGTGTGTTTTCAGTGATCTGTTAAGTTTGGATTTTCACATCAGGCTAATCTAAAGGTTTGCATTTCATTCTGCTCCTGAATACTTACACAGAGGTCATGGAAAGATCAAAAATATTTCATCAAACCCTCTTCTTCTCTGTTTGATACTTGAGGTAATTTTTTTGTAAATTTTGTAAACAGGAAAGAAGGTTCACTTTATTTCTCCAGAAGCTTTATTTTTGTATCAGAGAGCTGCTTTCTTAGATTTCAAGTTTTGTTTTCAAGTTTTTAAATATTTGGATGACGTTTCATCACATTCATTGACATGTTATAATTAACAGTTATCATCAAACATCAAGCGCTTGCTCCTCTTTACACAGTGAGAATCCAAATTCTTAATATAAGTTTTTAATAAATACATGTGATTCTCTAATGGGCCATGTTTTTGTCTTAGTGTTGTAATTTGGGGTTTATTCCTGCTGCTGAATGTTTCTGATTTAATCAGAACTTTTTTTTGACGTGTTTCACCTTATGAAAAATGAAATGGTATTGGACACACAAAAGAAAGTAAAATGATTGTTGACATGAATTATAAAGTGAAAAATTTGGAATTGCACCAGAAGAAATTCAAGTTTATTGGTGTCAATTAAAGGTTAAAAAAACAAAGTTTTAAGTAATTGTCTTGCATTTAACGATTTTTAATGCACGTCAATAGCATTCAACTTTAACAAATTGATGATACCTGATGTGTATTAAAAGTTAGAGGTTATTAATGTACATTAATAAGCTAAAGTTTACTAATGGGAATTAAAACGTTTAGGCTTTAATGTGCATTTAAAATCAAGAAGACATTAAAAAGCAGAAGAAAAGAAAGATGTTTATTTGTATTAAAAATATGCAACGGGAAATCAACATGCATTAAAATGCACGAAAGAGGATTAGGATCACAAGAAGAAAAAATAATTATAGGAGGGAGAATTTTTTTTATTTCAATGTCAAGATTAAAGTCAAAATTTTAAAAAGTCGAAATTTTCACTTAATTCATTTAGACTAATCTCGAAATTCGACTTCAATCTAAAAATTTTAATTTATTCAATCTTGAAATTTTGATATTCACGAGATTTTTTCATTTTTTTAATCACGTAATTTTGACTTTAATCTTGAAATTTTGATTTTTAATCTTGGAATTTCAACTTCATTAACATAATTTCAATTTTTTATGTCTCGAAATTTCGACTTTTATATGAAATTTCGACTTTTATCTCCATCCTGTAATTATTTTTTTCTTTTCATGTGGCCTCTTTAGTAGAAAAGTGAAATAATTTTACTGTTTGGGAGTTAAAAAGTTATTAAGTAATTTTTTTTCTCGAGAAGTTTATTGATGTGCATAAAGATTGAGAGGTTTTTTAATGTGCATAAAAAAGATAAGTACATAAAAAAGATATGTCTTAATAGTCAAAGACAATGAGTATGCTTTCAAAAGTGGTCATTTATGCTCTTTTAATTGTTAAAAGCCATCAATGAGCAGTCGAGGCAAAAAAAGCCTACTTGAACGAATTCAAACGGAATATGTAATAGTATGCATCAAAAGCTATGGCTTTGACATGCATTAAAAAGTTCAAATTTATTGAAATGCATTGGTTTGTAGTTGTGCATTGAAAAATTAATGATAAATGGGCACTAAAAGTTTTGTCACGCACTGATTGTAAAAGGTTGACGTGCATTTGAAAGTGAACTGAAAAATCATGACAATGGTTGAAAATTGTTCATGTGCATTAAATTTTTGGAGGTCACTGATGTCCCTTGTATGCAAAAGTAAATAAAATAAAAGGTTATTGACATACAGTAAAGGTCATTGATGTGAATTCAATCATTAAAAGTTATCCCTGTGCATTTTTCGAGTTATTAAATAGTGTTGTTATCTCACACACATGTTCTTGCCATGCATTTATAAGTTGAAGGTTACTGATTGGTATTTTAAAATAGAAGGGTTTTAAAGTCAAAGTTTTCTTATGTGCATCTGAGAGTGTGAAGGTTATTGACATGCATTAATGACTTAAGATTACTTTTCTTAACTTTCATGTGTAAAACTAACCTTTAACTTTTATGCACCGTAAAGTTAAAGATCATTAATGTGCATTTCAATGAATAAATGTTATCGTATGCATCATAGAGTTAAAGGTTGCTGATACGTTTTGCGAAGTCAAAAGTTAGTGATGTGCGTTGAAGAGTTTAGGTTTGAACAAACAGAGGATTTAATGCCTGAGGCCTCACTCCTACTTTTTTGTAATCAGATTAACCACAATGTTCTCTGCTCTGAAAGGCTTTAGGCGGGGCTGTTTAACAGTTTCACATGATTTAACTGGGAGTTCCCTGCTTTTCATTGCTGTGGAAACACAGTCTGTTGTAGTGGCGGTGACATAAACGTCCAATAAACCAGCTGTGTGTGACTGTGTGTGTGTGTGTGTGTGTGTGTGTGTGTGTGTGTGTGTGTGTGTGTGTGTGTGTGTGTGTGTGTGTGTGTGTGTGTGTGTGTGTGTGTGTGTGTTCGCTGGCACTGAACTTTGTCCCTCACTTTCCCTTGTTTCATTCACTCAAGGCATGTTTCCTATTATCAGAACTGAGTCACAGCTTTGTCATGTGGTGATGTCTTCAGAGTGAGATTTTTGGTCTCTTTTTTTTAAGTTTTTGACATCACAACAAAGCGTAGCATTGGAAACAATCTGTTTAAAATGCTCAGCACATGAAACACAAGTGATTCTTGAGCTCTGTATTTATTCTGAACCACACAAAGAAAGCTTCCTGGTGCTGGGTAAATATCTGTCTGATTGCAGAGAGTAACATGAAGCTCTTTTGTATTTTGTTTAGTAAAAAACTCCTGAAGTAGAAATGTAAAAGAGTCCAAACAGCCTTAAAAACTATATGGCTCTCCCATTCAGTCTAGAGGAACGAACTGTTCCTTTTTTTTTTTTTTTTTGACATTGTTTGGTTGTCTTTGGCGTCATCTGTGGTAATATTTTTTACTGCATTGGTTTTTGTCCTCTAGAAAAAGCCTCAGCAATTTTTTTTTCTCTGTTTATATGTGTTAGAACAATAAATGTAGATGATCTTTTTTATTGTTTGAATCAGAAATAGTTATCCATCCTTTCTCCATGTGTTGCCATGGTAACTGTCGACCCACTTTGGACAGAAAAATCACTGCTGCCTGATGGATAAATCATTTAATTAAGGGATAATGGGAATACCAAAGCTTCATAAAGGAGATGAATGTTCAGTCACACTGTGTTAAACTCCTTCAGCAGAGACAAACGCAGCACATTTCTTTCACCTGGGATCTCCCACATCAAAACGTTGGTAAAATACTTCTCTAAAGGAGTATTAAAGAACTTCAGAAAAAAAAAAAAACAGAACAAAATTAAAAGTTATAAGATCAGACTGAAGGAGAGTACTTCCCTCCAAACTAATACTCAGTTTATCCTCTGACAGAATGAACGTTAGGGTCCAGATCAGTACAGTGAAATTCCCACCCTTATCAAACAAAGCTTATCCTCCCTAAAACTCTGTTATGACTCCATCTCTGGCTCATAATTAGCCTGTTAAGGTGTGCTTCTGAGGTGTTATATAAGTTTGAAACTGCCACAGATACCTGATGTTTTTGTGTCACAGGTTCGACGTGCTCACTGGTAGCAGGATATGAAAGGGCAGATTACTTCACTATTGGAGGGATTAATAAATGAATATTAAATAGGAAACAATGATTCAAGCTGTCTATACAGAATAATCAAAAGGTAAATAGCTCAAGGGCTGTTCCAGTATGCTGAATACTTTAAAATACCTACACAGATGGAAACATTAGTTACTGAAAAGCTCCCCTGAGGCTTTGTAGGTTCAGACATGTGCTTTCCTAATAACAAATACTGTGAACACATAAGCACAAAAGCAAATGTGTAGTCTTTGCACATTTTCAATTTTAAATCAGGGCTGTTTATTTAATAACAGTCTCAAAGGTTCATCAAACTCAGACTCTGCTGCTATCTACCTGTCTCTGCCTTTCTGCCCCCAGCTCGGCTCATTCAGTTGAACTGCCCTTGACTCTTCTCTAGTTTTTACTTTCATGGTGTACAAGACAATGGTGAGGTATCTTTTTGTCTCTCCCTGCCATTTTGACTGACCTGTATGCTGTAAAACAGAATACAGATTGTTGTCCAGAATATGTCACACACTTCACATAAAGTTGTCACGCAGTCTGTTTGTCTGTGCCTGCATGTTAAGCTGTACAGATACAGCAGTTTAAAGACTATTGGTCACTATTTTAAAATTCGCAGTTTGAAATTTATAAATTTACTTTATAAAATTATGTAAAACAAAATAAAACTGTTTTTCTGTTAAATTCTTCCTTATCTTTTACTTCCACAAGATAAAAATTTCTTGGTGGAGCTCTGTGGCCATCTAGTGGTGAAAGAGTGAAGTTCATCTCAAATGCTGCTGTAAATAACTAATCAGTCATCTGTCCTCTACCTGTCAGACTTGCTCTTCCTGTCACTCACCTGTCACTTGCTCTACACTCCTACCTCAGTTTTAGTGAATAAATCATGTTGTATGCAGAAGTGAATCAGTAAATCTTGTGTTTGTGACGGATGAACTGAGCTCCTGGAGTAAGGGTATAAAACTGAGTTTGGGTCATGTGACCAAAGTTTGATCAAAGTTTTAAAAATCTGTAAGTGTGTTTACAAAAAATACCAACAAAATCAAGCACATGTTTATGAAGATTTCTGTTTTAAAGCTTCAGATATTCGTTTTAATCTCAGACTACTGTATGAATCTCTGTATTGACCTTTATCTGTTATCAGAAGAAGTTTTAGCTTGGCTTTGACTTGACACCTGAATGTTTTATCTTGTTGTTCATCCCAAATGACAACAGAAACTGAAAAGAAAATTTCTTTCTTAAGGATGACAAGCTGAATAAATGTCAGATGCAAACCATATCTCAGATGATTGAATGAATGTCCAATTAATAAATGAATGCAAGTCTAAATCTTTAATTATAATTTTTGTATCTCTCTTTCTGCAGGATGTGGTCATATATTCTTCACTTTTGTTTTTTTTTTTAAAGGGAAACGTGAACAGAGTGCTGCAGGAGGTCTTTATTCCAATCATGTTGCATGAAGGATAAAGATACTAAAACACTACAGATTTACTAAAGCTAACAAAAACATCTTTGAAGATCCTGTTTCAGGCTTCACTCTTCGTCCAGAGCTTTCTGTAAGAAAATTAAAATTCAAAATCAGATCTTTTCACAGCTCGTCACAAGGTTTCAAATGTGACCCAGGATCGAAATCAGAATTTTTAATCAGAATATTTAAAAAGATTGATGCTAAAATTACCTCACACCTTAATATACTATTTTGACATACTGATATGTTTGTGTCCTATCATTTAACTCATTCATATATTGATGGTTGACCTTGGCTCCAGGGTCACGGCTCTTGGCTCTCATCTTGTTGACCTGAGACTCAGCGATATCTGCTCTCTCTTCTGCTTCTTCCAGCTCATGCTGTAACTTCCTTAACTTTCCCAGGTTAACATTTGTCTGCTCCTCCTGAAAAAAGATTAATAAAAACCTAAAAATCTAAGAGAAGTGAGACTTTTGTGTGATAAATAAAGGTGAAGAGGTGTCACTCACAGCTTCCTCGGCAGCTCGCTTGTAAGATTTCACCTTCAGCTGCAGTTTGTCCACCAGGTTCTGCAGGCGGCTCAAATTCTTCTTATCCTCCTCCGTCTGTTTATGAGCGCATTTCCATTGTTAATATTAGACTTTTTTCAGTCATTCCATGTTTCTCTGTTCCTTTAATATAATATTTACCTGGTAGGTGAGCTCTTTGATTCGTCTCTCATACTTGCGGACACCTTTCACTGACTCGCTGCTTCTCCTTTGCTCCAGATCTACCTCATTCTCCAGCTCTCTCACCTGAAAACAACAGAATGTGATGGAATAACTTTAACATATATATAAAAAATCCAAAGTAAACTTTGACTTTAACTGCAAATTAGAAATAGTCACCCTGGCCTCCAGCTTCTGGACCTGCTTCTTGCCACCTTTCAGGGCGATTTGCTCCGCTTCATCCAGACGGTGCTGCAGGTCTTTGATGGTTTGTTCCATGTTTTTCTTCATCCTCTCCAGGTGAGCGCTGGTGTCCTGCTCCTTCTTCAGTTCCTCGGCCATCATGGCGGCATCAGTCACAGCCTTCTTTGCCTTCTCCTCAGCATTTCTGCACTCCTGAACCGCCTCCTCCACTTCACTTTGAAGCTGAGTGGTGTCGCTCTCCAGCTTCTTCTTCTGGTTGATCAGGCTGGTGTTCTGCACAGAGCCACAGTTTTAAACTTATGAGTTCTTTGCGGCAATGATTCTCTTTTTCTAGCAATCTTTATGAATAACAGTTTGTTCTTCAAAGACTGATGTACCTGTGAGTGCAGCAGCTGAACTCTCTCACTAACATCCAGCAGCTCCTGTTCGGCCAGTTTACGACTTCGCTCCGTCTGCTCCACCAGAGACCGGAGCTCATCCAGCTCAGCCTGCAGCAGGTTGTTCCTCCGCTCCACGATGGCGATGTTCTCCTTCAGATCATCATTCGCCCGTAGAGCGTCGTCCAGCTGCAGCTGAGAGTCCTGATCACAACGATTTAACAGTACAAAGAAGAGATCAGTGCTTGACCAGATCCACTCATGAGAAAACTACATGTCAGTTCAAACCTTGTTAAATAACCAGATATCTATCGTACCTTCAGGTGAGTGTGGAATCCCTTCAGCTGCTTCTGAGCCTCAGACGCCTGCCTGTTGGCCTGACTCAGCTGGATCTCCATCTCATTCAGGTCTCCCTCCATCTTCTTTTTTATTCTCAAGGCCTCATTCCTGCTGCGAGTCTCAGACTCAAGTGAGCTCTGCAGGGTGTCCACCACTCTCTGATGGTTACGTTTCACCTGCTCCATTTCCTCATCCTTCTCAGCCACCTTTCTCTCCATGTCGGCTTTCACCTGGTTGAACTCCAGCTGAGTTCGCAGGATCTTCCCCTCCTCATGCTCAAGTGAACCCTGTAAGAAACAAATCCCTGCTTGTCATTCAAAGAAAAATTTTGAAAAATTTTGTTAAAAAAAAAATGCTGTCAGCATTAGTTTTACCTCAGCTTCCTCCAAAGCAGACTGGATCTCAGTCTTCTCCTGCTCAAGCTGCTTACGAATCTTCTCCAGCTCATGGACACTCTTTCCACCCTCACCAAGTTGCTCAGTCAGGTCAGAAATTTCTCCTGTTTTCATACATTTTTAAATTTCATTATTGAGGTTTGCCATCACCAGTCATGTTTTCGTATTATTAGTAACAGATCATCATGACGAGACTCTCAGCATAATTGAAATGCTCATAAAAGTACTTGATCCTGTGTTTTACAGTTTGCTAATACTCTGTAAACTCCTCTCAGTGGTGTGTTTACACGACCTTTTGAAGGAGATAACTGTGCACATGCACATATGAGCATGCATCACAGGTACCACTAAGAATAACCCTAAAGCTCCAATAACAAAGAGACGGCTTCATCAGATAAACTTTCATACAGTGAAATTAATGGAGAAGTTAGTTTATGAACAGTCTGACTGAAAGATACAATTTCATGAGATCCAACATAACAGACAGGATGCACAACAGCTGCAACTCAGGTTTTCAGAGAAACATTCTGCATAATTTCTCACAAATTTAAACTTTAAATCTAACTAAAAAGTTTCTGACTTCCCGGCAAATTTATGACTTTTCTTACAAATATGCATTTTTTTTTCTTTCAGTTATAGGCTTTATCAGTATTTAGCCCTTTTTTTTAAAGAAATGTGTGACTTTATCTTTAAACTTGAAAGTTTTTTTCTCACATATTCCCTTGTTTTTCTAAAAAAAAAAAAATAAAAAACAAGAGGCTGTATATTCCCCCAAATTTGTAATATTTGGATCAGAATTCTTGAAAAATTTTCCCACAAATTATATCATTATCGTCACCTTTTCCTCAAAATTCACCATTTTTGCCTCACAGATAATATTTCTTTCCTCTAGAATTTTTGATTTTTTTTCAGATTTGCTACTTAGTTGTCTCCCAAGTTTGCCACATTCCAATCTGTGATATTAATCACAGATCATTACCCTTTACCGTCTGTCTTATCCTCTTACCTTGGAGATTCTTATTCTCTCGCTTCATGGTCTCCAGATGATCCAGAGATTCTTCGTAAGAGTTCTTCAGTTTGAAGAGCTCGGTGCTCAGAGATCGAGAGTCTTTTTGGGAACTTTCCAGCTCAGTCTGGGACTCCTCATACTTTTGCTTCCACTCAGCCAGGACCTGATATGAATGTCAAATAGTGTGACTCCAGAATTATTTTGGAAACAGTATCTCTTTATTTCTGTATTTATTTTGGATCAGAGCAGTTTATGGTTGTCACCTTGTCAAAGTTTCTTTGTTTCTTGTCCAGAGCAGCAGCGGCAGCGTTGGATCTCTCCACATCCACCATGAGATCTTCAATCTCTCCCTGAAGCCTGTGTTTGGTTTTCTCCAGAGAGGAACATTTAGCATTAGCTGCTTCAACACCTTCCTCTGCATCCTGTAGGCGCTGGGTTAGCTTTTTCCTGATAACAGAAACAATGAAAATACAAAATCCTTACATTGAGATTAAGACACAGTTGAAGGTAAATCAGGTGTAAAAATTTGTGATCTGTTCTCTTATTGTTTAAATTCCTACTTGGCTTCTTCCAGCTCCTCCGTCCTCTGGATGGCATCAGTCTCGTACTTTGTTCTCCACTGAGCCACCTCTGAGTTGGCCTTGGACATGCTGCGCTGGAGCTCGGCTTTGGCCTCCTGCTCCTCCTCAAACTGCTCTCTCAGCAGATCACAGTCATGACGGGAAGACTGCACTGCATGGGCGAGTGCGTTCTTGGCCTTCAGGAAACATAAGATCTGGTAATTTTTCTAAAAGATGTCAGGCTCTAAATTTCACATCAGAGATTTGTAACAACAGACCTTTATTTCCTCTTCAAGTTGTCTCTTCAGATCTTCGATCTGCTGAGTGTACGACTGCTTCCCTCGAGTCAGCTGGGATACCAACGAGTCCTTCTCCTCCAGCTGCCTCGCCAGCTCACCTGGAAAATGAAAGTGTTTGTCAAGATGGAGGTGATAAATCCTTTAACACCTGGAACTATTTCAGTAACAGAATAAGACTGATTTTACCATTTTCAGTCTGGAGCTTTGATTTCTGCATGGTGAAGTCGTTGATGGTACGCTGGCCTTCTTCAGATTTGGCTTTATACTCCGACATTTGATCCTCCAGCGTGCGGCACATTTTCTCCAGGTTGGCCTGAAATCCAAACATTTGACATCATACTGAACAATATATTTATGTTTATGATACATCCATGTTTAAGTTTACATTTGTATCATGCACTGATACTACAGTATTAAAGTCAGAGACTGCAGAGGCATTATTTGGTGTATTATTGCGTTAGAAAGACTTTCTGGTACTTTTACGTCATTTCTCAAGTTTAAAAGTGGAATCATTCAAAAAAAAAAGGCAGAAAAGGAGTGGTTTGCTAGATTATGAAGTTGAAATGAAGGGAAATGATCTTGTTTGTATGTTAGTTAGTCCTACATGGACTCATTGGGCAGAAAAGTTAAGATACCAGGGGCTCATCCTTCTCTGCCCTGTTGATCAGGTGTCAGAATGTTGAGACAGTCTTTGTGCTAAGGTAAGCTAACACCCTTTCATTCACAAAACAGAAACCTGCTTGTTGTCCATCGTACTTTAACTTTGATGATCTGCTCCATGTTAGAGACCACATCATCTAGCTCCAGCCTTAGCTCGCTCTTCTCCTTTTCCAGCTTCTGTTTGACTCTCTGTAGGTTGTCAATCTGCTCTCCCAGGTCGGCCACGCTGTCTGCGTTCTTCTTCCTCAGGGCTGCAGCTGTGGCTTCGTGCTGCAGAGTAGCCTCTTCAAGGTCTCTCCGCATCTTCTGGAACTCAGCCTCCCTCCTCTTGTTCATCTCAATCTGGGCGGCAGTCGCTCCTCCAGCCTCCTCCAGCCGCTCACTGATCTCTTCCAGCTCTCGGGCCAGATCACCTCTTTGTTTTTCCACTTTAGCTCGAGCAGCTCGTTCTGCTTCCAGCTCCTCCTCCAGCTCCTCAATGCGAGCCTAATCAATAGATGATTGTAAATTTATAGAAAGTTTTTTTTTTGTTAAAAGAAACAATAAAACATGTAAAGCTGTCTATTTGCAGCTACCTGTAACTCCTTCAGTTTCTTCTGGAGTTGTGCACTCATCGCTTGTTCATCTTCAATCTTACTCAGCAGCTGGCTGATTTCAAAGTCTTTCCTGTATTCAGTGTTAAGATGGTTGAGTTTATTAATCAGCTGTTTTCCAGGGTTAGAAATTGTATTTGTTGTTGTAATAAAAATCTCCTTTTACTTTTTGAGTTTCTCCTCCAGCTGCTGTTTGTCATTCTCCAGATCCATTACACTTTCCTGGGTCAACTTTAAGTCGCCCTCCAGTTTTCTCTTTGCTCTTTCCAGATCCATCCTCACCTTTTTCTCTTGCTCCAATGATCCCTCGAGCTTTAGAAAGAACAGAAATATTTACTCCTTTAGTGTCTCTGAAAGTAAGATTTAGTCTTGAATGCCATTTTACTCACATCATCAACTTGCTGCTCCAGTTTGGCTTTGGCCTTAGTCAGCGAGTTGACTTTGTCTTCCTCGCTCTGCAGGTCATCCAGAGTTTGCTGATGAGCCTCCTGTAGAGCTTTTTTCTCCTTGGTCAGTTTAGCAATGATTTCTTCCAGAGCTGCCATCTCCTCAGTCAGGTTTTTAACCTTAAAGACCAGATCATTGTTTGTGTCAGTTCGGAAAAACAGGAAATATTCTCATCAATCAATCAATTTTGATTTATATGGTGCCAAATGACAAGAAGCGTTATCCGAAGTCTCTTTCCAAAAGAGCAAGTCTAGACCAAACTCTTTGTCTGATGTATTACAAGCACCCAACCTCAAGATGGACAAAGATTAAGGCCCATCTAGAAATATCAGACCTATTTTAACCATAGACTGTATATAGGATAGACGCTGTCTGCCTCCTTGCAGGGTGAAGCCACCACGAGAACAGCACCCTCTGGTGACAGGCTGCAGTATAGGTCATAAATCCCGCCTCCATCAGCCAAACCTATGGACCTGTGGACAAACTTTAGAAATTACTTACACAGAATATAATTTTTTTCCCCACCTGGTTGTGATGTTGACATGTAGTTACAGTAAGACTGGTTTGTGCTCAAGTCCTCTTTTTTTTCTGTACAGCTCCATTTTTAAAAGTTACTAGGGGGTTCATGTTTTCTATGATTGACACTTGGCACAGCCTATGGGCGTAGGAAGATTTCGTAGCTTGCCTGGAGGATATACTGTTTGAGCCGAGCGTCATCACAGTGACTTTCAGTGACTCTCCCGCCAAACACTTGCAACACTACTGCTCAATGTTGGTTTCAGGAAGTGGAGAAAAATCGCGGAAATACAGAGAACTTTTCGGTTTCAAATCTGTATACTGGCGGAAGGCGGAACCAAGTTGTCCATAGTATATACAGTCTATGTTTTTAATCCATCTCAAACCAGCATGAATGAATTACTCTGCAGTTCATCAAAGGAATATTTTCTGACCAGTCCCTTACCTTGTTCTCTGTGGCGTGCTTCTCCTTCTCCACTTTAGCCAAAGTCAGCTCCAGATCATCAATGTCCTTCTTCAGCTCTGAACACTCATCTTCCAGTTTCCTCTTCTTGGCAGTCAGCTCCGCGTTCATCTCCTCCTCATCCTCCAGCCTCTCTGTCAGCTCTTTGACTTTGGCCTCAAGCTGGATCTTACTCTTGATCAGACCCTCACAGCGCTCTTCAGCATCTGCTAGATTGTCTTGTTCCTGCAGACAGACAATGGTCTTATTCTCAATGTGTACAAATACATTGCTGTAAGGCTGATGTGCACTGACTGACAGAACTTACAGATTGGACTTGGAGCTGAAGGTCATTCTTCTCTTGGAGAAGGGTCACCATTTTTTCCTCCAGTTCCTTCTTTCGTGCCTCAGATTTGGAAAAAGCCTCTTTCAGCTTTGTGAACTCCTCCTTCATGGTTGCCATCTCCTTCTCAGTCTCAGCTGATTTCAGGAGTGGTTTGATCTTGAAGTACATCTTCATCCAGGGCCAATTCTTGACCCCCATGAAGGCCCGCACATTCCACTGGATCACCAGTAAAGCATCCCTGAAGATATCATCAGTAGTTTTAAATCTGTTTATGGTATTTTGCTGCTTTGTAAAGAAAACATTAAATGTCCAAACCTGCGTTCAACAATCTTCTGAAACTCAATCCTGGCAAGTAATCCTCTAGATCTCGCTTGAATTCCAGTGATGATGAGAGCGAGACGGTCGTCTCTCATCTCCTCAAGAACACCCAGCAGACCAGCTTTGAAGAACACCTGAAAACAACCATGACTTAAAAACTCTACCCACTTCAGTTTGAGCTATGCTTTGGTACAGGGAGAAATGCCAATTAAGCTCTGATTCTTTCAGCTGATGATAAACAGATGAACCTGCTGGTTTACCTCCAGGTACCCATTAAAAATCTCAGACATGATGCCCCATCTAAGTACTCTAACCCACCTTCCTAAACACCTCCACCTCAGCTCCTCTTCCCATAATGTTTTTTTTTTTTTCTATCCTCAACGATGCTGCTTTGTTTTACTGGGTCTTTGCTGCCCTCACTGCTTCAGGCTTTTCTTTGTAGAACACGGAGAGCTCTAAACAGAGCCACACTCTATTATAACTTGCTGCACTGCAAATAAAAACAGTTTTAGCAAAAGCAGACCTCTCAGGATTACTTTTCTAACATGAATTATGCTCTTTCAGTCACTAAGTGAGTTTATATGATGGAAATTCAGTCTTATCTGTTTACATTGTGTATGATGTGCTCCAATCTATTGTTTAAGTACTCAGGTTTCATGACAATATGGCAATAATAAAGGTGATGGAGGTCGAGCATCTGTTGGGTGAATTGGTACGTTCAGTACTCTCATCTTGTTTTTTTTATTTTTTTAATTTAAATGTCCAAGAGGACCCTCATTTCACCCTCAAGACTTCCATGTTCTTTTTAAGTGTTTTCAAGTTACAAGAGATGACATACACAACAAAATCCAGGTGACCTGGACGGTTTACAGGACCAATTCTTATCAGAAAAAAAAAAGGCTCAATTGGAGTAAAATGACTTGTTTAAACACTTGGTCTGACTAAAACAGCAAGTTGGAGTGTAATTTAAATCCAAAGGAAGGGTGACAAGAAAATGCCAAGAATGATGCATTTGTATTGTATTGTTTAACAGCCCTTCATACACTCATTCCAGTTTTATTCTGTTAGCTGATATTTTGCAAATGCTTTTTTCTCATCTCTCATGATTGGAGATTGCATAAGAACAAACACAAGATCAGAGGAGATCATACCACAGCAGAGAGACGACACAGACTCTTCAATCAGGAAGATTTGAACTAAGACAGGAAAAAATGTGGTCATGTAAACCCACCCACCTTTGTGTGTCCCAGTTTATACTGCTCATGGTCAATATCCAGCGAGCCCAGAAGCTTTTCTGCTGCCTTTTTGTTGTCGATAAACTGCCCCTCAGGGATAGCACTGGGGTTCAGGATACGATACCTGGAACAATCAAAACAAAGGATCATCACAAGTCTTAAACATTTATAAAAGTAGGAGAGGTACTGTTTTCATGGTTTGAACCAGTCTGGATCCAGTTTCTGACCAGGTTTAATCTCCCTGAACAAATCTTATCTGCTGTTTCAGACTGACACTATGGCCAAAGATGTAAGAATAAGAATAATAAGAAGAACTTTATTGATCCCCAAAGGGAAATTCAATTGTCTGTTGTCTCACATAATATGTCTATAAAAGTTATCTATTATTTACATAAGAGTTATAAAGCTTGATGGCTGTTGGTACAAAAGATCTTCTGAATCTTTCTTTCCTGCAGCGAAGAGGGAGGAGCCGTCCATCACCATTGGCCCTTTGGTCCATCAAGGTGCTGTAAAGTGGGTGATCCATGTTCTTTAGAATAGACTCCAGTCTATGTATTCTATTTGAATGCCAAGAAGTTTATCAATTTGTTGTCAACAGAGGAAAAAAAACAGATGGAGAGACTCTCTTTCAGGGTTGAACAGTTTTCTGTTTCACTCACCCAGCAGCTCTGGCTTCTTCTGGGACAAAAGATGTGATAATCTCTCTCAGCCATCAGCTGATAAGTGACCCAAGATTTCTCCAACAGATCTATGACCATCTCCTTTGTCTTTGTGGTGTTGAGGAGGAGGCAGTGTTTGTGACTCCAGTCACTGAAGGCTCCTATTAGATCTCTGTATTCAGCTTCTTGTCCATTTCTGATACTTGCCACAATAGCAGTGTCATCTGAGTATTTCTGGATGTGGCAGGACTCAATACTGAGCTCAGTCTTCACCAATATCTCCAGCTCATCGCTTTTGTTGGGCAGAGAGTTGATGTTTCCCATGATGATTGATGGAAGAAAGGGTTTATATCGCCACCTACTACCATTCAGTGTGTATACACACCTATTAAACTGTTTATCTTAAAGGGGACCTGCCATAAAAATGTAATTTTTGGGGTTTTTTGTGTCAGATAAGGTCCATATTATGTTCGTCTTATGTTGTAAATGTGAAAACAAACTGTTACGTCGTTTGCATTCTGTAAAGGTTTAAAATCAAGGAACGAGGAAACCAGGCCAATTGAAAAAGCAGGTCCCTCTGACGTCGCACTGACCTTGCTCATTATTATTCACGAGCGCGTCCTCGGTGAGCCGCGCCCACTCTCTCGTTCTCGTACTCAGTCACAGCCAGAGCGAGACCCAGCTACCACTGTATCCGCTATGGGTCTCTTCCAAACGATCGGTGTTTCCTTGGGTTCACTGCCGGGAAAATGAACTTAAAGCTGGACAGAATGAATGAGAAAACACCGCTGGAGATCTCCGGCTTCTTCTTCAACTTCCACCTCCTCTTCGGACTCGGGGTCTAACATATATGGTTTAATACCTGCCGTTTTTAGCCTTTAGCATAAGGTGACCAGACGTCCCCGATTTCCGGGGACAGTCCCCGTATTGGATGACCTGTCCCCGGCAAAAGCTGTCCCCGAAAATGTCCCCGATTTAAGCGTTTCATGAATGAGAGCAAAAATGTTGCGTGTGGGCTCGAACAACGGTTATTACAGTAGCCGAATAGGTAGGAAGCACAAGTAAGCAGTCCTGAACAACAGTTCTTACGGGGGTTATTACAAGGGGCATGCACTGCTACTAAATAGTACCGAGACTTTGTCTGTGATCACACAGCCCCTGCAGCCCCTGCACCGCCGCCGCCGCCGCACCGGATATCCCCGGATATCATTACAGACATCTGGGCACCTTACTTCAGCACACATTAGCATATGCTATTAGCATTAGCATAATAACAATGGATAAACCGAAATCCGAACCTCCACTGCTGAGCCAATCAGAGCACAGCAGCGATCCAATCAGGGCAAAGCTCATTACCATAAATGTTAATGAGCCAAAATCAGTTGGTTTTCCTGTAAGGTTTTTTAGGCATACTAAAACAAACCATCAAATAACTTTTCAGCTAAAATTATGTTGCAAACATGATCAGAGGACATCAAGGATTATGAAAAAATGATAAAAATGGGTATGAAATTTTGGTGGCAGGTCCCCTTTAAATTTCAATTTTATCTTTCCATTTCACATTTTTCTTTAATTTTATTAAGAAAAACTGACTTCGGAATTATTTAACAGTATATAAATTCACAACTACTGGTCGTGACTGAGACACTCCTCCACACCCACTTCTTTGGGGTTTTACAGCAGTTGGCACTCAATCAAGTTGCATTACCGTCACTTGCCTTTAATTCATGTCATTTCCTGGTGAGACTTCAGTCTAGAGTCCAGTCTGGTCAACTTCCACAGTACTATCAGATTTTTTCAGGTAACATTGTTGTGTACTTGTCCAATGGTTTGTAATCTATTAATAAATTCCTGTCTGTGTTTTCTTTATTTTCTACTGGTCAAATATAATAAAAGTTTATAAATTAAAGCTATAAAAATGATCTCAAAAGAGCGATAAAGACATCTTGCCTCTGTTTAAAGTCTCCGTACTGGATCCTGTTGGGAAACCCCTTCCTGCAGATCCTGATGCCTTCCAGCACACCGTTACAGCGCAGCTGGTGCATCACCAGAGGGTTCTCCATGGCCCCAGGAGTCTTTGTCTCATTGGGGATGATGCAGCGTACAAAGTGGGGATGAGTGGACCTCAGGTTAGTCATCAGTTTGTTCAAGTTCTCCTGTTAATAAGGGTAAAAACATTAAACCTGCTCTTTACAAAGAGATACCTATAAAAACAAACAGATGTGTTTTACCCTGTGCAGAGCAGACACAGTCTGGAAGGAAGAACCTTTCTTCTTTCCTCCCTTTCCTCCTTTTCCACCTCCATCAGTGGCTTCATGGATATTATAGATATGTAAGAGTGATTTATTTTCATTTGTGGCATTTTCAACAGCTCAAAGAATATTGCATCAAAGATCTCTCACCTGAATCTGCACCAGTGTACCCAGCAAACAGGGTACCCAGCAGCTTCATGGTGGACTTCTGAAACAGCCCAACTACAGTCTCATTCAGAGGGTCTTTGTTCTTCACGAGCCAGTTAGAGATGTTGTAATCGACAATACCAGCATAGTGAACCAGGGAGAAATGAGCCTCTGGTTTCCCTTTAACAACTCTGGGTTTCTGGAAGTTTGGACTCTTCCCCAGGTGGTTATCATACAATTTGGCTTTGAAGGTAGTGTCGCTGGCTTTGGGGAACATGCACTCCTCTTCAAGGATGGACATGATACCCATGGGCTGGAGGAAGCAGCATGTCTTCAGTTAATGAAATGCAAATCTGTCAGAGAAGAGCTTATGTTTGTTTTATAACTCCACACTTACCTTCTCAATGAGCTCAATGCAGGCAGCCAAATCCATGCCAAAGTCGATGAACTCCCACACGATGCCCTCTTTCTTGTATTCTTCTTGCTCCAACACAAACATGTGGTGGTTGAAGAACTGTTGCAGCTTCTCGTTTGTATAGTTGATGCACAGCTGCTCAAAGGTGTTGAACTGAAAATGTTATAGAAAAAAGAGGATGAGTAGGTATTTCTCAAAGTTTATTCTTAGTGAAATCTTTCCAACTCACATCAAAGATCTCAAATCCAGCAATATCCAGCACACCAATGAAGTACTGGCGAGGCTGCTTGGTGTCCAGTGATTGGTTGATTCTCACCACCATCCACAGGAACATTTTCTCGTACACAGACTTGGACAGTGCACCGATTGAGTAGTACACCTATATATCAATTAAAGGATCAAATCTGTATTCTTCAAACACAAATATAGAGAAATGAAACCCTCAAACCTTCACCCTTTAAACTTACCTGCTGTACATTTTGACCTTTGGTCACCCACTCATTGCCCACTTTCACTCGTGGGTGACACAGACCCTTAATGAGGTCAGCAGAGTTCAAACCCATTAGATATGCAACTTTGTCCACATCTATAAATGAAGGTTGTTTGGAGATACACTGAATCAAGATTATGTGTCAGGAACAGGAATTTCTTGAAGGTATACTTGAATTCATAAAAACAAACATCTTTTGTGTTTTTTCACCCTCAGTGCCGTCAGGCTCCGCTTGCTCTTCTCTCTGCTTCTGCTTGAACTTCATGTTCCCGTAGTGCATGACGGCTCCTGTCAGCTTGTAGATGCCGTTCTTCTCCTCTTGGGTAAATCCCAGAACATCAAAAGCTTCCTGTAACAAAACAACAAATATATCTGAGATAACTGTTAAAACCTTACATTTGGACTTCTAACACAATCACTGACGTCAGTAGCCATCAGCTCTTCTGCATCGTCGATGGAGGCTACAGTCGTCTCTCCTTGGGAGATGAATGAGTAGTCATATGGGTTGTTCGTTATGAGCAGCATCTCTGACAAAAAAAGAAGAAAAATACTAATTTTCTGTTTGTGAGACATTCTTATCTCTTCATTTTTTATCAGTATGGAACCCCACACATCATATCAGGAAGTCAGTACAAATAAAGGGTAAAAACAAATGAAAAACTCTATTTTTTACTCCTGTCCTAGTAGGAATACATCTTAAAACACATACAAACAATCAAAACATTTCACAAAATTATAGTAAGACACACAAAAGGGGGAGATATTGCATAGTGTACGCCAACACAGGTAAATGCTAACCATTTAGTGCCAAATACACTAGAGGGACCACTCTTACATGAAGTTGCCAAAGCTTCCTTGCAGTGCAGTGTTGGTGGATGCACATCAAACCAAACATGAATACTGATACTAAAATATTCAGCCTTTTGATCAGACAATGAGCCAGTACAAGAATACAAATCTATTCTATTTAAATGCCAAGATGTTTATCAATTTGCTGTCAACAGAGGAAAAAAAACAGATGGAGAGACTCTCTTTCAGGGTTGAACAATTTTCTGTTTCACTCACCCAGCAGCTCTGGTTTCTTCTGGGACAAAATCTGGTAGAAGATGTGATAATCTCTCTCAGCCTTCAGCTGATAAGTGACCCGAGATTTCTCCAACAGATCTGTCAAAAATAACACAAAATCAGATTTTAGAGCTCTTACTGTATCAGAGTGATTTACTGCACAGTGGAGATGTTCATTTCTCACTTACAGGTCTCAATGTCAGCAGAAGACAGTTTTCCACTGACACCAAAGTGGATTCGAATAAATTTACCCTTCAAGAAAAAAACAAGACTGAACAGTTAGAAAAGTTTTTCCTGGATAACAAAGGGGACATTTGATTGGCCTATTTTCTGTCTGTTTATGTTTCAATAGTCATCTGTAAGCTGTGGAGCTTCTTGATCGTATAGCTATTTCAAGAATCTTTAAAGAAAACAGGTCTTTTTGTCAGTATTACACTTTGCAGATGGTCCTTAGACACTGAGGTTATGTCTGGCTGGGCAGAGAGGCTAAACCAAAAATAAAGACATACATTAGATGTAATGAGTTAAAATCGCTGTATATGCAGTGAGCAAAGTTTTCCGAATAAGTTCCTTAAAGCACGATGTAATACTTATCCTGCAAGGAACTTCTCAAGAACACTTTGATTTGACATTAACCAAAATAAGATGTGCATTTGTAATGCCAGCATAGCTCAAATTTAGTGTAATGGGATGTTTTGACAAAAAAGTTTGGTGTTTTTGCATTATAAGCATCAGCCAATCAGCTGGCTGCGAGCCACTTATTTACTAATTGACTGATCCTATATTTAATGTAGGGCTTCAAGTGCTTTCAACAGAAAATGACTAAAGAAAGTTTATGTACAAATATAAGCATGAACAAATATGATTAGTTTACCTTCCACCCCTGCAAAAAGTGACCTAGAACTCACAAATCTGGAAGAATTATCATTCCTGATGGTCTTGGCATTTCCAAAAGCCTCCAGAGCGGGGTTAGCTTGGATGATTTGATCCTCCAGGGTCCCCTGAATATTTGATGAATGTATAAATTGAATTTATAAAGTTAAAAGCTGATTTATCATGTATTTGAAATATCTAAGTTATTGAGTCTTTAAGGTCTGAATGTCAAACGCACCTTTTTCTCCTGAGCAGCATCCTTCTTGCCAGAAACAGCTGCGATGCTGGCAAAGTACTGAATGACTCTCTTTGTGTTCACAGTCTTTCCAGCACCAGATTCTCCACTAAAAAACAACCAGGAGAAGTGAACAAACTGAACATTTGCATTTACATCAAACCCAAATGTTAAATTCATGTGCTTGCTATATGATTGATTAATTTCTTGTATGACTGGTCGGTTGATTAAAAGCCTTACGTGATCAGGATTGACTGGTTTTCTCTGTCTGCAAAATTTAAGACAAAGTTTGAAGTTTTAGATATTTTTTAGCTGAACATTGAGGTGGTCTCAGAGATTTTTATTGATATAATAAATAAATTGACACACCTGCCAGCATGTACTGATACGCATTGTCAGAAATGGAGTAGATGTGAGGAGGGGCTTCGCTCCTCTTCTTCCCTCTGTAGGCGTTGACAACAGCCTGATCGTAGACCGGCAGCCATTTGTACGGGTTAACAGTCACACAGAACAGGCCTGAGTAGGTCTGAAATATTTCAGAAAATCCAAATGAAGTGAAGATTTAAAAACAGAGGAGATCTCATTGTGTTAATGGTCATTCCTCACATAAATCATCCATGCTGCATATCGCTCTTTGAGGTTAAACAGCACAGCAGGTTCGTGGAGGAAGGTGAACATCGCCATGTCCTCAATTTTATCAAACTTGGGCGGGTTCTGAGGGTGGATATCTTCCTCCTTATGGGTGACAGTCTAAGGAGATTTAACAAGGAAAACATCTCAGTTTTTAACTGTTTGAAAAGTTCAACCATTGAGTCATTCTCACTTATTCTCAGACTTACCTTTCCAAACTCTGTTTCAACGGTGGCTTTGCCGCCATCTCTGCTGGTGACTGTGGCTTTGACGTACTCTACCTCTGGGTCAGGTACGAAACACTGACGCTTTATGTCAAAAGGTCGAGTCTGAGCCTCAAGCCGCTCCTTATCTGACTTTCTCAGAAAAGAAGCAGCAGACCCAAACTCCGCCATGAGGGCGTCCCCCGACATCCTGAAAGCTGCAAACAGAGACAGTTTGTCTATTTGGTGCCCTGGTTTAGCAGGGTTAGATTTCTACTGAATGAGTTTAATATCATTGGTTTGAAATGTTCATAAAGATTAAGCAACATCAATTATTTCAGGAAGAGGGTAAAGTTGTCGACTTTAAAGATGAACTCATATGAATCACAATTACCAAACATTGTGCTTTAGATATACTGCACAAGCTCCCTTAAGGTTATATGTGTTTGTATTGTTAGTTAAATAATAAATAAAATGCCCTTTAAAAAAATAGAAATCAAATGATTATCTTCTGATAAGTCCCTCAAGGACATACCTGGTGTCCTCTCCTTGACAGATTTATCCGCCTGGGTCTCTGAAATGAAAACAAAACAAAAATAATATTTTATGTTTGTCACTCTATAGCTGTATTAAATAAAAAAGTGATGTATTTACCTGTAGAGGTTATGTTCCTGTTGTTACTCTTCTCGCTGAATGCTGTTTTATACATCCAGGAGGTGGGGCTTAGCTCACAGCTGCCCAATAAGAGCAAAGAAGAAAACAAAGGACACTTGGAAACACAGGGAAGACCTGTATATGGACATGAAGATGCAGACCACAATGACCCTCGTGTGACCACTGGTCTGTAAACCAGGCCTTGGATTGGCATCTGCTTTTATTCTGACATTCAAGTGACCCTGAACTCAATGAATGATTAAAAACAATAAAATTTCAGCTGAAATCTTAAAATACAGTATATTTCTCATTCCATTTCCATATAAATACAACCCCTAACATTATATTTTCTCTTTTGTTTCGTTAAAAAGGTTATATGTTTGAAATCAAGTGTTATACAAGTCAGAGTTTGAGCAGATGGTCATTATTGTTTATAGAATATTCCAGACTTAAGACAGGTGAACTTTTTACATCTATAGGTCATCACAAGGGTTTTGTAAAACAACTGTAGTATTGTCTGCCTTGTATTGTGCAGGAGGACAAAGATAAACTTGTGAATTTTTCGTCTTGGATTCTTCCTTCTGGCTGTCGTGTGTGTCCCAGTGGACTCAGCTGACTTCTCCTTTAATAAAAACTGTTTATGACAGCTGCCTGCTTTAAAAGTTTCACACAATCCATATTGTACATGATCATATAAAACACTTAACACCTCCCATATGTACACATTATCAAGACGACAGGTCAAGACTTGTAATAACTGGCAAGTTACCACAGGAGACCCTTAAATCAGGTGTTTATTGAGGGGTCCACCTTAAGACCTCCTCAAGGGGAACACAAACCCTTTGGCCTTAACAACTTCACACTTCGGTTTCACCTAGACCCTGTAGGATGGGCAGCTGGCCATTTGGACCAAATGGACATTCCTCATCTCTTGAAGGACAGCCTGAGACTCTCATTCCCAGCTGCCTTTTGTCCTTCAGGCACTGATAGAGCTTCATCAGCTTTCATAAGCACAAATTATTGCTTTCATTCAAAGTAATTAAAACTGATAAAGTACTGTTTTCAAACCCATTAAAGGTGCAGTGTGTAGTATTTGATCATATTCAGCATAACAGACATGGTAGATATGGCATATAATACTCAAGGTCACTGAATTATGACCTGCATATTCAAATTATTATTATTTTTTACTTCAAATTAGCTTTTTATATCTACATGGGAGCAGGTCTCCTTCCACCATGTTTCTATCGGAGCACAGAGTGGGCAAACGTACCTGTTCTTGTGCATAAAATAGTTTAAACTATTAGATGAATTTGATGATAAAAACTTCACTGATCATGCATCACTGGAGTTTCTTGTTCTTTCAGGCCACTGTCTCTTCTTGAACTTCAACAGCAGGGGTGGGTAAGGGAGCATTTTAATCCAGCACCTGATTGCGAAGAGATAAGATACTCTTTTATTAGTCCCACAAGGGGAATCTCCCCTTCACCTAGATGTCAAAATGTTCCTATTTTACACCCCCTCTTAGCTTTAAGAGAGTTTGTCTTCTCTCATACTTATTCAATTATATCCTACTATAAAAATAAACAACAGTATGTGATGGAAATTATTAACAGCCGTTTTATGTTGCTATTGCAACTATTGCAATCATAAATATGTTCATTTTTCGATTTGTTTTGTTACAATAGGATGGAGAACTTGGCAGCTGACCCAAACAGCTGGTTGTTTTTTGCAGGTTGTCATCAGGACTTTTGTTCCAAAGCAGCAGATACAACTCAAATATAAAGCTTCACTATTTTCTAATTTAAACACAAATTGCACTGTGGTGTCCCTCTCCAAATCAGAACAATAATGTGATGTATGAGTGACACACCCCTTTAGACATGAGGAGAATCATCAGTATCAACTTGATAAAACAGTAGCATGGTATGTTTAATTGTTTATTTGGATTTCTTTTAGCACCATCAGGCTATTATTCCAAGAGTCCAATGGTAAAATTTTGGTGTCAGTGTCAAGGTTTGTGCTGGTGCACAACGGATCATATTGCTTGGATGATTAGATTTGGTGATGTGGATGCAAATGAATTTGAAAGATTGTTTTAATCAACAGTTTTTTTTTTTATTCAGTATCAGTATAAAACTGAAATGAGGGCTAGAGGGGAACTCAATCAATTCACCCTTATGTGATGGGAGCACTAGAAGAACGTTTGACAGTGAATAAATAGTTACTTCCTCAGTAACGCATTACTTGTTGGTTTAGATAACTGAGTCACTGAGATTTTTTCTTTTTTTTTTTACAAAGTAACTAGTTACTGTGTCTTGTTACTCTTTTTCAGTAAATAGCACAACACTGGATATAATGCATACTGTCTAATACTAATTTATGTAAAGTAATCATAATAATTTGTGTACATAATAGAAAAGAAGTGCTAAAATGTCCCAGAAGCCACCAAATTTTAGCCAATTTTCCCCGGGAGGAAGAAATATGGCCCTGATACCTTGGGCTGGCTACTTTCTTTAATGGTCAGACAATGCCATGTTTCTGTGAAAAGCTACGGTGATGACCTTTTAGGGTGATACAAGTATGTTTTCACAAAGTAAATCCCTGCAAAACTTTCAAATATAAGTCAGCAAAGAAGCAGACTTCCTTGAAAGAAACCTTGGTGCACTGAGAAGTGTTAATGACACATTGTTTCCTTCCTTTTGTCCTTGAGCTCAGAGATAAGCCTGTGATATTCAAAGGGACACTACAAATGTTTCTGGCATACTGAGGCAAAGGCCGAGTGACACATAATACCAAACTTAGACTCACACCCTCACACTTACTTTCTCACACTGTCACGCCCCTAATATGTAGCTGCAACAACAATTTAATATGACTTTGTCAAAGAATAATTTCTCTATTAGTGGCTTAAATTTCTTTTTTATTCCAAGAGGATACAGATAAAGACATAACAACAGAGGAGATGAATGTAATTCACCACAGTCACAGCTGTTGTGAAGCAAGGCCCTGACTACACAGTGTATCTTGGCACAAACTGCCTTATCATATTGTAACATCACACTCCTTCTTTTTGGACTGGCATTGTTTTCTTCAGTGTACCCTTGAGGTTAAAGATAACCCTGTGAAATTGTTTTGGAAAGCTTGAACTAAGCATAAGTAAAACCACGTGCCCCTGAAACAAAAGCTGGTTAAGAGATAAAGGTGGTCAAGAAAATTTAAAAAACATCTCATTAGGAAATAGAAAGTTTATGCTGCGATAAGATTATTTAGAATTAATTGAAAGTATTACTCAATAAGCCAACCCTAACCCGGGATTTCCACCGCATCCGGAACGGCTCCGATCAGCAATTTTTCGCCGTACTCCAATTCCTACCGGCTCCGATTGTGAGGCGAATTTTGTGGCGGATTACGGACAACAGGAATTGCAAGAACTCATAAGAACCCGCGGATTCACATGCAATCACGCATTAACAAGTTGTCTTTGGCCATGTAGGCTAACCATAAAAGCAGTAGATTGTGTCTTTTCCAGAGTAGGAAATCTACTTCTAGACTTATAAAATCAACATTCTCTCATCCATGGTGTCATCGGGATGAAATGCTGTCTATGCTTCTCCCAAACAGGTCCTTTTGTGGATCTGCAGGGGACAAGCATCAATATTCTCCAGGGCCTTTTTCAGTTGTTTTGTGGTGACATTTATGGCTGATATTCTAAAGGGATAACCCCACCCCCTCCTACATCACGTGACCTTTGTTAGGACTTGTTTGTAACTGTGTTTGGACCTTGTTTGAAACTCTTTGACCTTCTTAGGAATGTGTTTGGACCTGTTAGGATGTGTTCAGAACTTGAAGGCAGTCCAGACACTGGTGGGTACAGCCACAACGCCCCCTCCTCCCCTGCCAGCACTTAGCACATGGGGTCTGCAACCATCAGAAGATCACAGGGACACACCTTGGGAAGGAAAACATGAATTTAAGGTTCCACAACATCGCACAGCTAGGAAGATAGAGGGACAAAAGGAGAGTGCAAAGACATGAGCCTGGAAGTATGCCACGTTTTACCACAAAGACTTTTATGTAAACAGCTGCAAAAATATTTGGACTCCCTGCACCCAACCTCAGAACTAAACAACGGGTCCATCACTGGCCTAGACACACCATAGTACAGGACATCACCTACCGACTACACCAGTACATCATCCCACTACCCTCAGGGCACAGGTACAGATCAATCAAGTTCAGGAGGGCTCGCCTGGTGAGAAGCCTGATCCCTGCAGCCATAGCCGCCCTGAACAGCAGGCCTCGCTGATCTGTCTGCCCGTCACTGTATTGTTATTGTCACTGTTCTTTACTGCCATGTCAACTGAATACTGTTATTGTCTGTGATGTCCAGCGTTGTCTCCTTGTAATGTACAATCAGTGAAAATGAATTTCCCCATGGGGACATTGAATACATTGAAGATGATTTTTATTTTTGTAATTTTGTACTTTTTGTAAAATAAAAAGTAACTGTGCATTCATGATTTCTGGTAATATTGTCTTTTTTTCCTATTTACCAGAGAGACTATAAATATCAAGGTTATTTTTTTAATAAATAAACTATGCTTTTTTTAAAGGGGTGCCCTGACTTTCACTCACAACTGTATATATATAAATGTATATATGCACACACACACACATACGTACATATAATTCGTACATATATCTGCACTGTACTTCAATCTGTAAACTGAGGCCTCTCCAAACAAAATTTGATTACAATTACACCTGCTGCATACTGAATGACAATAAAGTCTGTCTCGTCAAAGTCCAGTTATTTCCACACACAGAGGTTAAGTTGATGGGTACGATACAGCAGAGGGTGGCGCTTTTAACTGAGGCATCAACTTTGATGATTAAGTGTCAACTTCTGGACTTTACTGCTTTGATTAGGCTGGACTTTGATTCTTTGATAAGGCTGGACTCAATTGCTATGATAAGGCTGGACTTTGATGCCTTGCTGTTAATCAACTGCAAGCGTGGGGGAAAACTGCTGGCTGCACTTTCACTTTAATATGTAAAATCTCTGTACGGGCTGGTTCAGAGACATAATTAAAATAACAGCAGACAGACTCGGACTCAGAGAGCTTTGTATCTTTACTTCAACTCAGTACTCTCAAACCTGTGCATGGACAGCAACTATTACAACCCAAACATGGCCAGAAACTATCAATCCATCTTCAATCACTCCTCCGGGGTCAGGTCGCGGGGGCAGCAGCCTGAGCAGAGAAGCCCAGACTTCCCTATTTACAGCCACCTTGGCCAGCTCTCTCTGGAGGACCCAGAGGTGTCTTACCCGCGGTCTCCTACCAGGAACTACAGATACTTCAACATGCGTCAACATTATCCCGACCCATACATGGCCGGCAACCTTGGTGAGTTATGACAAATTATTCATGTTTTCAAAGTCAAGAAAGATATGTTTTATCTCATGGCTGCACAACAGTTACTCAAATAATACTAATGCTTCATTAAGAAGGATGAAAAATTATTTTCTAATTGATGCTTTTGTTCTAAAATCATAACCAAAAAAAGACATTTTGGACAACATTTGAGAAATTTGTAAATAAAAAGGTTTCATTTCTTTGCAACTCAGAAGCCATTGATTAAACCTTTTAAAACTCTTAACTGCTAATCACAGTTAAAAACACCTCTAAATGTATCCATCTGTGTACATGTAACTCTACATAAGAGATGTAGGTGAACATATGTAGTTTAAATTTTGATTTCAATGAAGGGATGGGTTATAATAGTATATGAATAATAAAAAGGCCATTTTTTTAACCAAAGAATAAAGTTCCTTTTCAGAAGATTATTCATCAGAGGAGTTTAAAAGTGAAACTGGTCAGCCAAACTCTTTTGTATTTGATATAATAACAATGCTGAGAAAAACAACCAACAGTATCTGATTTTGGTGACTTTGGCAACTTCACTGGTGTTAAGCCTCTTCCTTTTTGGGTAAACTGTGTTGAATAGAAAATATAACTGATTTGTTGAGCACCAGAGGTTGACAGAGCACTAAATGACTGAATCATATCTCAATCTGTGTTTCTTTTCCATCTTTGTTTGAGTTCAGGACAAAATGTAAAGGACCTTATCCTGTCTCTTTAACTTTTTACACAGGGCACATCATTACAAATAATGATGAGTTGAGAATAGTGATGGTGGGGAAGACTGGAGCTGGGAAAAGTGCCTCTGGAAACACCATCCTAGGAGAAGACTGCTTTGAATCAAAATTCAGTGCTCAGTCCATGACTGTGGGGAGTTCAAAAAGAAGAGGCACAGTGGGCAGACAAAAGGTGGCTGTGATTGACACCCCAGGCTTTTTTGATACTAGGTTTAGCATGCAAGAGACGGCTGTAGACATCAGCCAGTGCATTACGTATGCTTCTCCTGGTCCCCATGTGTTTCTGGTGGTCATCCGGCTGGGTAGATTCACTGAAGAGGAGAAGCAGACAGTGCAAAGAATTCAAGAGATCTTTGGCCAGGCAGCAGACAGATACAGCATGGTTCTCTTTACTGGTGGAGACGAGTTAGAGATGGAACAAAAAACTATTGAAGACTTCTTGGCTGAAAGTCCAGATCTGCAGGAGCTTGTCACCAGGTGTAACAACCAGTACCATGTCTTCAATAACAGAAACAAAAAAGATCACAGTCAGGTCACCAAGCTGCTCCAAAAGATCAGAGAGATTGTGCAGAAAAACGGAGGAGCCCACTACACCAACGAGATGTTCCAAGAGGCTGAGAGGGCAGTTGATGAGGAGAAAGAACGCATCATGAAGGAGAAAGAGGAGGAAATCCAAAATGAAACAAAAAAAATTGAGAAGGAAATACAGCAAAAGTTCGAAAGAGAGATGAAGACACTAAGAGATCAACTCCAGGCTGATAGAGAGAGAGAGAGAAGGCAAGAGAGAGAGATGTGGAGGCAGCAGCAGATGATCCATGAGATGAGCATTAGGGAGAGGGAGGCGAGAGAAGCAGAAAGGATGAGAGAGAAGCAGGAAAAAGAAAGAGAGCTGTACAAACTGTCAGAACAGTATGAAAATAATTTGAGAGAGGTAATGAGAAGACAGACGCAGGAGATGAATGAGCAGAGAATGAAGGAATGGCATGAGAGACAAGCAGAGAGGATGAGAGAGAGGGGGGAAAAGGAAAGAGAGCTGTACACACTGAAAAAACAGTGTGAGAATGATTTGAGAGAGAAGATGAGGAGGCATATACAGAAGCAGGAGATGAATGAGCAGAGAATGAAGGACATGAATGAGAGACAAGCAGAGAGGATGAGAGAACTGCTGGAGGAAAAAGAAAGAGAGCTGAAAAAACAACATGAGAGATGTTTGAGTGAGGAGAGGAATAGGATCACAGAAAAGTATGAAAGACAGGCCAGAGATAAAGCTGAGCGCTCTAATCCTGTCTTCTCTGCGTTTAAAAAGACAGGCAGATTTTTATGGAGTGGATCTAAAGCATTGGGAAAGGGATTTGTTAAATTGTTTAAGTGAGTGTTTCACCGTACAAGTTTCATTATACATATGTATTCACTGACATATCTAATCTTGAAATAGAGATGTGATAATGAGACTACAGCTGTGTCAAAGCAGTTAATGAGTGACCTAACAAGAGCTCAAAGATAACAGATTTGATCTTTTTCAAATGTTCTTATCATTTCATTTTAAGTGTTTTCAGTCTCATCTAAGCTAGATTACATTTAATGCTGATTTCTAATTTGAATTGTTCATTCTTGAAGATGCTTTCTTTTAAATCTATTTGTCAGAGGTTGCTAAGTGCAATATTTTCCACCACAAATCTTTAGCTTATGTACAAATATCAAAATAGCCATGAAGATCTGTTTCTAATCAGCAATAATAATCTTGACTCTATGTGTACGATAAAATCACATATATACAATATGAGTTGAGTTTAACAAGGCTTCTGTTGTCTGGATTTCCTTGTTTCCTGACCTACTGTTTAAACATGGGCAGACACTGAAAACTTCACTTTGCTCATTAAATTTTTTTTTTCATTAGACTGTTTAGCCAAGTCAATAATCAAGAACTGAACCGTGCTCTGTGTGTAGACAATGGGCAGTTTGTCTAGAGGGATGGTCGGGCAAAGTTCCACCAAAGGGGAAAAAAAAAGATTTATTACCCATCATATTCTTGCACAGTGTTACGGTGGTTGTGACAGTTGTAGACAGTTTCAGCTACTATGTAAGTCACTGTCCAATCAGCATAAGGCAGTGCTCCATGAGGTACTGCCCCTTTCAGGCGATAACGGTCTGACTAAAAGTCGCCCCAACTGCTCCTATTGCCTCTAATGTAACCCCCCCTCCCCCCAAGCTTCTGGTATTACAATACAATCTCTATGGGGTTTCAGGAGGGCTTTCCTCAATGAGCTTTCGTCATACATAATGTGAAGACAGCTGGCGTAGCCACTATGCACCAGTCGCTTTCAAGGTTAGCATGGCAAGTGTACAGAACAACTCAGTCGTTTCATTGAAAGAAATCCCCTTCAGTTGTTGGAGCAGTGAGGACAAATTGGCAACCAAACAATCAGGACCCCCACAGACCAAATTTAAATATGAAACAAATTTCTTCTGAGGGAGGGAAAACATATAACCTGTAACTTTCACGGAGCTGGTATGAGTGGAAAACCTGGCTAGGGAGCTTTATAACCCTTGGTTACTATTAATTTTAAATTCCATCCAGCCCCAAATGGACATGCAGATAAGTGTTCATAAAATGATATTTAGATTAATATTTTTTCACAAATTTTTTACCAGTCAGCATCTCACTTGCTTACCTTTCTTTTTTTTCTTTTTTCCACTCATATCTCTTAAACAACTTAACCATTACAAAAATAAAAAATAAAATTTTTTATGTTAAACTCTATTTTAATGGAAAAAAACACAAAATTGCTATATTTATCATATAAAATGACCTAGATTAATTCTTTTTTTTAAATATATAGAGCCTGGGCCCTGTCAATGATAAGTCAGGACTCTCAAATCTCTTGCATTTGGCGTGTGACACACGCATTCTCACCCATTTACACGCTCATATGCCACACATTGTATTTTTCACGCATTTTAAGTACCACAGTGACGTCCACCAAGTTTCACCTCTTTCACAATGGAACAGGTAGGAATCAAGTGAGTTCACTAAGCTGCGTGCCGCGTGCAAGCCAATTAAATAAAGTATATGAACCAAACAGCCAATCAAAAAATAGTATTGCCGTTTCCGCATAGATTTTGATATTCCGCGGTTTGGCTACAAGCAGGTTGTATAAAGACAAAAAAGGATTACAGTAAGTCATCTTATCAGTTTTTCGTTGCTGTGGAATAGCCTCTTTAATTCTGTCTATGAATATTTTGTCTATGCAGCAGGAGTGGGAGTGAGTATGCGTTTGTATCAGTGATGGAAGTAAGCACCCGCCAGTTTACCAGCAGTTACAGTGGGTTATTCCAATCAGATCTGAACCAATTAATATAGGCTATATCTTAACCATGCGCTTTCCATAAATTTATTTTGATCAAGTCAAAGTATTTTTCTGGTGCAAGAAGAAAGGGAGGCAGAAGCTAGTTTTTTGTCAGAGTTTACATGAATGAAGTCAAGGCAATGTTAAAAATCCTCCCTAGCCTTATTGGTATCCCATAGTAATGAGCTATGGTAACAAGTACTGATTGGGGAATACTATGTTCATGTCTTGCACAGGAAAAAAATGTTTCAAGGCAAAAAAAAATTAAAAGTGTCTACAAAAATTACAAAATGTTCATTTCCATCTCTGGTGTGTGTGTGTGCGTGTGTGTGTGTGTGTGTGTGTGTGTGTGTGTGTGTGTGTGTGTGTGTGTGTGTGTGTGTGTGTGTGTGTGTGTGTGTGTGTGTGTGTGTGTTTAACAAAAGCACAGACCTTGTCCGGACTGTGGTCCAGACTTTTAGGTGTGAAAACATGCTAAAGCTGATTCTAAGACTGGGATAAAATGTAGACATTAAAAAAAAAAAAAAAAACAACCTCTTTTACTTAATGTTTCTTTCCTTTTTCTAGTTTCTTTTTATGTTTCTTAACCCTCATTAATTGTTTTTAATCTTCCTATTTTGTCACTACATACTTTATACAGTTACACTTACTGGCCCTCATTTATCAAGCTTGCATACGGCAGAAAACTTGGGTACGACAATTTTGACGTGAGGATCGGTATTTATCAATCTGCACGTGAGCATTCACTACGACCAAATCTCACGACAGGTCTGACATTGTGTACGCAAGTTTGAGTCAGTGTGGATCTGTGGTGCAGTAAATGTCTGTCTGAAATAACTGATAAACAAACCTCAAACCTGTCATTAAGCACAATCAGACAGATTTCATTAAAGATTACGACATAAATAAGATAAAATAGAATAAAATAAGTTTGTTATGTCCTTGGTGAATAGGCCTATTTGATAACTCTGCCCAGAAACACTGCCACAGATAAAGTTAAAGTAGTGGGATCAAAAGTCAAGACTGTGGAATTAGTTTATTTAATCTTTACTATGAGGGCACTTAATTGAAACACCTTGTCCTGTCTTTGTTGGACTTGTGAGTACAGAGACCGAGTCGGTCATAGGTCCCACTCTTTCAGTCAGCTCAGTACTGCTGCTGCTTCTCTAAGCCCCACCCACCCACAGAGCAAGGCGCAACGATAGGATAAGACAGGCAAGCACAGAGATAGTCCTGCCCTAAGGAACGGTGAACTGACTCTTCAGCCAATCAAAAGAACTGAACGGACTGAACGGATCATTTAGTGGGGGTGACCTTGTTCAACTCCAATCTCCCTAAACCCTCAGCACTTACAGCAACCCTCACTACCTCCAATGGGATCATGTGTGCAGTACATAACTGCCATGTGCATATTCAAACTCATTTCTCCTTCATCCCATTATCTCATCCACATACTCTTGATAAACAATGTTCAAAGCATACAGATAAGTAGTATGGTCAAAAATATGTTGGGTGAGGTTCTTTATATGGCTGGCCACATAAATATTCAGAACAATATTGGAAATTGTTTTGCTGCTAGTCTAAGTTACAAATGTTTTTTTCAGAAAGTAAAGAGATACAATAATAATGGAATATGACATAGTTGTATAAACATTCTTATAAAATCAGTTGGAAATGAATTAAACATCTTAAATGGCTTTGCCAAGCTTTGACAATACTTCTACAAAATGTTTGTCTTTTCATTATTTTGTTTGATACTAATGTCCCAGATCTGCTCAAAGAAGGCTACACAAACACTTGATGACTTAATTTGGCACCAAATAACAGAGGAGTGACCTTACACTTAAAGACTTGTGTTTCTAATTTAAAAAGGCATGAAAATTTTTAACTGATAAAGTTTGATTAAATATCTCAAATTCCATACACATGTTGCTATAAAGTTTTTTGATCTATTATTTTGATGAGCTTCATTAACTTTACAGAATAAGACAATCAAATAATCCAAGAACAGCGACTTCACATGAGGGTTCCTCTTCTCCAGGTGTGCAGGGCTTGGGTGTAGAACGGAGGAGATGGTGTAACTGAGGAAAGTGCACCATTTCTCTCTCCCCTGTCTATTCTCTTTCCACATCTTTATTTGCAGTGCTTTCAGGCTCTATTTATCTCCCTATATTTATTTCACTATACAAGCTCTAGAGTACTGGTAGATGGCTATTTTCACTTTTTTCCAACATCATACATTTTTGACTGCATTATAAAAAGTCATTTACTGCGATGGCCGGGAATCGAACCCGGGTCAACTGCTTGGAAGGCAGCTATGCTTACCACTATACCACCATCGCCATACAAAAAAACATACTGTATGACTGCCACATCAGCGAAAGACTCCAGTGTTTGACTTAGTGAGTAGGAGAGGGAGTGGAAAAGGTGGAGTCAAGGAAGGAGGGAGGTTGCTTTAGGAGAGTGGAGATGTAGTCTCTACTCTGTAGTTCAGCTGACCACAGTCATTGCAACACAGTCATTATGTAGCTGAATACAGTACAAACAGAGTTTAAGCTTACAAAGATCAGAGTAGGTACTGTCGCTTGTTTTTGTCTAATGAAAAAGGCATCACAACTTTGAACCAATTTGATTAAATATCTAAAATTCCATACATGTGTTGCTTTCAAGTTTCTCTGATCTATTGTCTGGAGGAGCTTTATCAACTTCACAGAGTAAGACAATCAACAATAAAAGCTATCAAAGGTACAAAACAGGACAACCATGAATAGATTAAAACAAGTGGCATTCTGATATTTAGGATTACTTTCCTTTCAAAGTTAATGTAGCAACATTAGATTGATTGATTTTTAAATATAATATACTCACCAGTCTGCTTCCTTTAAGATGTGGTGTACATTTCTGCCACACTGACCCTTTTTTATGACCAGAAATATCCATCATACCTGAAATATCATAAAATATATGAGTAAAAAAGAAGCCAAATCAGGCTACTCAAAGTTAGTCCTAGACTTAGTGTATTAAGACTTTTATTGTCATCCAGCATGCGGCAGGTGTATACAGGATAACATTTCATGTGCAAAGGCCTCAGTTTACACATTCAAGTATAGTGCAGATAGATGTGCAAAAAATGTATACATATAACAGGTTGCCCAAACATCCTGTTTTCCCAGGACATGTCCTGTTTTCACCCCCTGTCTTGACCGTCTTGGTTGTTTTTTATAAAGTGATAAAAATGTCCTGGTTTTCATCTTGAAGACTTAAAAACAGGCAACTGGACTGTGTAGAGTTGAGAAGACGTTTCGCCTCTTATCCAAGAAGCTTCTTCAGTTCTAAATATTGCTAGTGTCAGGAGCAGATATTTATCTTACTGGAGAAGGGGGACAGTGAACGACTGGGTGGAGTTGAAAAGAATGGGTTGTGGAAACCCATCTCTCGGTGTGTCCCCCCCAAGTCGTTATCCTGAAAGGGTCGTTAGCGGCTCCTATCATGTGACCACATGACTCATGCCACCTGGGTCATGTGGTTCCAGGTGTGAATGTTTGTGGAGCTTCCTGGGGAGGGAGCTGAGAACAGCATTGTAAGTGCCAGAGAGATTGTGCCTGAGTCCACCCCCTCTG